GCCAAGCAAGTTTCTTGAGGCAGGCACAGCTCAGCTGTCTGCAGAAATTACAAGTACCTGAGCCAAAGTCAGAGAAAAGACAAATTGTGATGCGTGCAGTCTGTTTTTCTGAAGACAAAAATTATTTGAGGCCCAAAAAGTGACAAGGAGGAAAAAAAAGTAAAGGGGATGGGAGGGTTTGAGAGAAGGGGCAGGGAGGTAAGGAGAGAAGTCGAGGGCACCTTAAACATTTAGCTAGCACCAGGTTTACCCATTTCACCTGGGAGATAGGGGCTGTTACCCGTTTTGTAAGATTAAGGACACTGAGACATTGAGTCCTGGGTCACAGTGCTCATAGGGTCACATGAGGGCTCCCTACCCTTTCCTGATGAAACCTGTGCTCAGTCCCTAAGTGAAGCCAAGCTCTATGGCCAAGGGGCCCTGGTCTTTCGTTTAAAGTGTGTATTAATCAACTTTCCATCCCTATAGTGAAATGCCTCAATAAGACTAACTTTGTAAAGGAAAGAGGTTTATTTCAACCCATGGTTCTTGAGGGCCACAGCCCAAGATCAGGCAGCCCCACTGGGTCAGCCTCTGGTGATGATGTTCTTGCTGGCAGAGTCCCCAGGTGCACAGGCATCATGTAGCAAGAGACATGGAAGGTGTGCCAGTCTATGTCTGTCTATGTGAGGTCTCGCTCTTCCAGCCACAGAGCTGCCAGGATCCAATCACAGGGACATCACTCCCAATGACCTGATCCAATCAATCATTTCCCAAAGGCCCCACACTTAAAGACCATAACTGGAGTGGGTTTCCACCCCTCAGTGCCACTAACATCATAAGACTTTGAGGAGTACCCTCTGTGTGAGTTCAGGAATCAGATCATAGTCAAACCATAGCCAGGTATTTCCTTGACTTCTTGAGAAACTCTACCTGGTTATATCATATGAGCTGAGAATTCAGTGTGGTACCACACATTGCCTCATGCTGTGGCTGGTGAGCTGCTACATATTATGCAGCCGAGGCCACACACTCAGAGATCTGCAGTGGCCAGGAGAAAGGCTCAGGCCACTGAAGAGCGGCAGACCCTGTAGCCAAGGCACACTGCCCCTTGGAATCCGGTCTATCCCTGTGGGGTGCCTGCTCTTCACATTGCAAGAGGGTTGGGACATGGACACGGAATGTTCCAGACAGTAGGGTCAGCAATCTATGATAGAAGCCACCATCACCAAACACTCTTCAAATCAGCCACATGTGTGTCAGTATCCCAGATAAAAAATAGTCTTGTGCTGTGTCCTGACATTGGCCTTGGACACATCATATGGGAGTGATGTCCCCGAGACCCAGCACTAATTCCTTGTTATTGTCAGATTCTACCCACATCAATGCTGGGCTCTCTTCCCCCACCCTGTGCAGCTGGGCTGCTTCATGCCCTGAGCGCATCAGCTGTCACCAGGGGCTGGAGCTGGGTCCTAACCAGCCTGCTGTACAGATGCTTGGCCACCTAGACCACACCTACGAGCTCCTTTGAATCTCTACCCCCGGCTTATGACTGTCCCAACAGCCAGTTGTCAAACAGACAAGAGTGCAGACCCTGCAACAGAGAGTTCTTCAGAACTCTAGGGGAAAATGCATCGGTTTTGATGCAAAAAAATCTTTTCTTCCACACGCAGATTTTTTTCATAATACATATTTCCAAAAACTTTTTTGAAGGCCTCTCATACGTATGGACTTCAAGTATTTTTCACACCAAAATAAATGTATCTGTTCATTCAATTTTCTTTGTGTACTGTAAAAGTCGATCTTTATTTTATGGAAAGTCATACTGCATAGTATTAATCAGAAATAGATCCTTCCCTTCTAATACATGCCCATCTTGAAGATGTTTTCTAATGAGCTAATTCCTTAAATGTGTCAGTGTTTGCACACAAACACATTTGGTCCCACTGAAAGGAATTTCGTTTGAGTAAGGACTATGGAATTAGACTTTGGGGCTCAACTTCCTGCCCTGCGGAATGCAATGGGAAAGTTCCCACAATCAGAGGGGGCCTCTCTCGGCACATTCCATGCGGGAAGCATGTGCAGAGCTTTGTGTAGACAGCACCGTGTCTCGAGATGCTATCAGTCTCCCTGCCGGCCAAAGGCCATTGTGCCTTGACCAGGTCCCAATCAAATGCCATAAAACCTCTCTGTGCGTGCTCACGCGTGCGACTGTGTACAGCAAAGAAGCATTAGACTTCACGGGGAAGGGGATGAAATCCAAACTCAGAGGAACCTGCACTTCCGGCATTGCCGTGGTGAGGCTAGCTGCCGAGAGAAAGGGGTTATCATCCTTAGAAACTTCTCTAAGGAAGTTGTTCTCAGGCTCAAGATGTTCAAGGGAACTTAGCCACAAGTGGGCAAAACAGCAAATGAAGCCCATTTGCAAATCCATCCGACCGCTCCTTTCAGGATGCCTGCCACTGCCAGGCACTCTCTGGACACTGGAGATGTGAGCTGTGACCCCGGGGGTCATGATCCTGCATTCTGCAGTGTGGCTCAAAACGTTCAGCACACGCATCAGTCCAGATCTGAATACCACAGCACCACCCACACCCCTTCCCCTATCACAGGGTCCCAGCCCCTAGAACAAATCTGGGACATGGGTGCTCATCCACATGTTTATTGAATTAATAGAGATTTTACCCTCAACTCTTTGTGAAAGCTTATTCATCAGAGACAGATAAAGCAAAACATAGTTTCTGCAGCCATTCACCAAGTCCAATGGCCAGCGTGAATACAATAAATGTGATGTGTGGTCGCAGGCTCCAGGAATTTTGCATTCTGGGAGACAAAGCATGGCGGTGTCATAGGGCTGGTGTATTTAAGAGATGACAAGTATTTTGATGGGACTGGGGCCAGTGGGGAGACAGCAGTGGATGAAGCGGAAGAGATATTCAAGATTGGGATCTGGATTTCTGTGCTGACAATGATGAGAGTATTGAGGTTGAGGAGTGCAAGGAATAAATTTGTGCTCTGGCGAGAACACTGTGGTTGCAGAGGTGGAGGTGAGCCTGGTGCAGGTGAGGAGGCAGTAGCGCTGGGGCGGGAGAGGTGGTGACAGTCTCATGAACCGTGGAAGTCCAATGGGCAGGACTTGGTGATGGACGGGACAGAGAGCAAAATGTCTCTTTCCCTTCCAGACTAAGAATGCTCTGGCCTCTAGGAAGTGATTAATATGCTTGTGTAGAAGCTGACGGGATGAGAGAGGAGGAAGTGGCATGCCATGGAGGGTTCAGTAGTTGGTCATACGTGCAGCGTCAGTCCCTGGGCGACAGTCACAACCCCCAACTCGCAGGCTGTGTGCCTGCAGCAAGAGGCTTTCTCTCTCCGTGTCTCAGTTTCCTTCAGAAAGTGGGAATAAGCTGCTCGTAGGGCTGCTGTGAGTCCTGGATAAATGAACCACTGTCAGTCCACAGGAGGGCCCTTGGGATAGAGAGGGCTTGCTAAATCTACCTGTTTGAGTGATTGCTATGATTGGGGTGGGGAAGTTTCCCACTCCTGCAACATTGCATCTGAACCATGCACACAGATGCTCAGGACCTTCGATGGCCTTGCCCATTCTGTGTCTTCTCCCACACTATTGGGAGTGCCCTATTGTTTCCAGGTCTCTGTCATAATTTATCCTGTTCCCTCTCCCTGCCTTCATCTCTTCACTGGAAAATCTGCTTCCAGTGCCACCTCTTCCAAAAGCCATCAGTTACCCTCCATCTCCCAAGTTTTATAGCAGTCAGTTTCTTTGCATTTGCCTCCTATCTCGGAGGTAGGCTTGATTGGGCTCCTTGAGGGTGGCTACCCTCGCTGACTCTTCTCCCGTCTCGTCCAGCCCCTAACCTGGCCCCTTCACTGACATGAATACAGTAAATGTGATGTGTGGCCGCAGGCTCCAGGAAGTTCGCATTCTGGTAGACAAGCATGGTGGTGTAGTAAGGCTGGTGTATCTAAGAGAATTAAAACAGCCCTCCAGATGAGCCTCGTCTGTGAAATTGGGATATTACGGCTGACTCTCTCACTGGGTGGATGTGAGTGCGTGGCACTTAATAAGCACTCAATAAATTTCATCTTTATCCACATCTTCACTTCTAAAACTTTTCGCTTGCCCTCAGCCCATCCTTCTATAAACGTCGGTCTCGTGTTTACAAAAGTAGAGGATGAGGCATTGCTACACACGCCCTGGGAAATCGTGCACTGGAATCGTCATGGCGGGAAGCTCTGCTCTGGCCCACTGGGGCATTCCTCTGCAAATTCCAAAGAGCCTCCTCCCCGGAGCCATCAGCTGGACTACATTGGGCCTCTCCTTTCTGGTCTTGGAGGAGCAGCCCTCAGCTTTTGATCTCTGTGTCCCTGGGAAATGAGGTGGCTTCGAAGGACCCCGTACTGCCCATACCTCTTGCCCTCCCAGCACCTGCAGGCTGGCAGTGAAGAGATCATACAGCGCCCAGATGCGCGGCATAGGATGGGGCTGCTTTTCCCTGGCCGTTCCGAAAGCAGCAAGCAGGCAACTGTGACAGCCCTTGGGCTTTATTTTTATTTTTCTAATCTACTTTGAAGAATTTTGTGAGTCCCAAAGGAGCGCTCTCATGTCATCCATTTTTTTTTTTTTCTTTTCTTTAGAATTTCCTCTAAAACCCATTAGGGAGAGCTAACATAATCCAGACTTAGCACTTTAGTGGGCTTTTGTCTGTGCCTTCATTTTTTGCCCCCATTTTTAATTTCTCCTCTGATTTTTTTTTAATTCATCATCTCTGGGACTACGAAGTTTGAAAACCCAGCAGCCAAATGTCTAGAAAAGCTTTTCATTGTCATGTGAGTCCCTTATGCTAATGTTGTGCACCTGCCTGACTCAGAAAGTCAGACGAGCTGAGACTAATTTTTGCCACCGCAGCTTGTGAACGTGGCAACAGACTGCGTAGAGGCCCTGGGCCTTTATGCCGGTTCAGGTATGGCTGTCAGCACCACCTTGGGGATCTTTCTCTTTCCAGGAACCTCAGACAAGTCCAGCCTGGAGCTGATCACACTGACCTGCACCTGCGTGGCTGCCACTCTCTTCTGGCTCCTGCTAACTCTCTTCATCCGAAAGCTGAAAAGGGTAAGGATGTGGGTGAAGTTCTGCTCTGCTTCTTACATAATATTCCTATTTTTTTAAGATTTATTTATTTATTTGAAAGAGTTACAAAGAGGCAGATGCAGAGAGAGAGAGAGGTCTTCCATCCGCTGGTTCATTCCCCAAGTGGCCATGGCCGTGACCAGGAGCCAGGAGCTTCTTCCAGGCCTCCCAAGCAGGTTCAGGGGCCCAAGAACTTGGGCCATCCTCCCCTGCTTTCCCAGGCCATAACAGAGAGCTGGATCGGAAGTGGAGCAGCTGGGTCTCAAACTGGAGCCCATATGGGATGCTGGCACTGCAGGCAGTGGCTTTACCCACTACACCACAGCGCTGGACCCTACATGATATTCTAGCAAGTCTGCTCTGATATCTGGAGCAAGCACTTTCCTTAGGAGCTCATTCCTCTTTGTGATCTCGTCAGCACTGGTAATCAACCAGAGAGATGTCTCTGACCACAGGCAGCAGTGGGTGAACAACAACAACAAAAAAGCAGATAAATATATCTCAGAAACAGAAGAATTTTTTATATAAAAATATGAAATTGAGTCTTTAAATTCAGGATGGGACCTGTAAAATCCTCATTGTTTTAACCTCATTCTCTGTGAAGAAATGAAAAGGAAAGGCACCCTGATTTCTCTTAGATAACACTATGGCAGTTCCAATAAAGGCAATGCTTCAAATATTTATATGAGCCTGCACAAGGCCGAGTGCTGGGTCCTGTGCAGGCCTGGTGGTGACAGTGGCGAACAAGTAGTGGCACATGCAGACCAAGGAGGAGCCTGGCTTTGATCAGCCACACAGTCGTGAAGTCCCTGCTCGAGACACCCACATGCCCTGTCAGGGTGCCTGGGTCCAGGTTCCAGCTGCCCACTTCCAATCCAGCTTCCTGCTTATGGGAACCCTGGGAGGCAGCACATGGCGGCTCAAGTACTTGGCGCTCTGCCACCCATGTGGGTGATCCAGATAGAGTTTGGAGCTCCTGCCTTCAGCCTGGCCCAACCCTGGCTGTTATGGGCACTTGGGGAGCGAACCAGTGGACAGTAGCTCTTTGCCCCGTCTGTCTCTCTTTCTATCTCTGTCTCTGTCCCTCTGGCTTCCCAAGAAAATGAAAACAAAACAAAAACTGCAACTTAGAGTTAGCTGACCAAAAGTTCTATAAGGGGGGTGATCGGGCAAAGAAGAGAGGAGAAAATTAGGCAGTCCTCTGGAATTTCAGGAATTCCATGCCCAGGAAGCTGGCCACCTGGTAATGTCCCCGAATGGGGAAGGGGCAAGAAACAGGAACCATAACCAATTTGTAAAAACACTCCAGTCTGGACACCGACTGGGCTCCCTGACCTTTGCTGAGATGCCACCTGTTAGGTGCACTTTCTTCATTAACCTTGGCTAACATGCTTACTGCTAAAAACGCACAAATAAATAATAAGAGAATTTTTAAAAAGAAGGAAGAGACAGGTGTTGTCGATGAAGGGCAGGGCGTATGTGAGGCTGGAGGGAGGGAGGGGCAGCACCGTGAGGATGAGGGAGGAGTGGCAGGCCAGGAGGGCTGCATCGGTGGGGCCAGGGGTGGCAGGGTTGGAGGCGAGGTTGGCCAGGCAGGCCCTTGTAGGCCCTGGGGAGGAATTTCGTGTGCATTCTAAGCGCAGTAAAAGCCTTGCACGGGGCAAGGAGAGTAAGCAAAGGTGGGGGCAGGGAATAGGTATGACAGAGATGGGTGTCTGTGAGAGGACTGGAGCAGAGTGAGAAAGAGTAAAAAGACAGGCAGCTGGCAGAAGGCTTTATGGTAGTCCAAGCAAGAGCTGAGGACAGGGGCCGGTGCTGTGGCGTAGCAGGTAAAGCCACTGCCTGTAGTACCGGCATCCCATATGAGTCCCGGCTGCTCCACTTCGAATCCAGCTCTTTGCTGTGGCCTGGGAAAGCAGTGGAGGATGGCCCAAGTCCTTGGGCCCCTGCACCCACATGGGAGACCTGGAAGAATCTCCTGGCTCCTGGCTTTAGGTTAGCGGAGCTCCGGGCCATTGCAGCCAATTGGGGAGTGAACCAGTGGATAGAAGACCTCTCTCTCTCTCTCTCTCTCTCTCTCTCTCTCTCTGCCTCTCCTCTCTCTGTGTAACTCTGACTTTCAAGTAAATAAATAAATCTTTTAAAAAAAAAAAGAACTGAGGACAGCTCCAAATCAATAATTAGAGTTGAGAGATAGGAGGGAAAGCCAACAGATTCCAGAAACATCCAAGAGGCCTTATTCATGTGTCAGGAGGTCCTGTGGGGTGATCTCAGTGAATCCTGCCCCAATCGCAAAGAGGAGGCTACACAGTCAGTCCTGTTTTATAGAGGGAAACTGAGGCTCTGTTGGGTCCCAAGCCACTATTCTTGGAGCTTGGTTTTCAGACCCCGGCTGTTGGAACTTAGATGTTGCTACTAAAAAGCCGGCAAGGTGTTCTGACAGCACTGTGCGAGAGGCGAGGCTAGCAGCCCCCGGTGCCAAGTACCTAACATTGGTGCCGTCCAAAGCGATTGGTGCTGAGACCTGATCAGTCGAGGCCGCTGCCTGAGAAGGAAATGGGGGGCGGGGCACAGAGCAGCTTTAGGGTTGGGGGCTCATATAGGGAAACACAGGGAACAAAAGCAAAACTCGGCTAAGCTGGACAGAGACCCAAAGGCCACAGTTCAAAGGAACAGAGGGGAAGGGAAAAACTTCAGAGAGAGGGATGCTTGGGTCAGACTTTGAAGGCTGTAGCTAGAAGAAAAGAAGCAGAGAAACACAGCCTGCCCGACCCCTCCCATTCCCCAGATTGGGGAAGTGGTCTGGTGACTTAGCACACAAGAACATGGCACACAGAGACTGGGAAGGTAGCTGGGCCTGCGTGGAAGTGGTTCCTTCTTTATAAAAAAATTTTTGATTTATTTATTTTCATTTTATTTGAAAGGCAGAAAGATGGAGAAAGAGATTTTTCCATCCTCTGGTTTACTCCCCAAATGACCACAACAGCTAGGGCTGGACCAGGCTAAAGCCAGGAGGCCAGAACTCAAACCAGTTCTCCCACATAGGTGGCAGGGACCCAAGTACTTGAGCCATCATTTGCTGCCTCCCACATTGGATTGGAAGCAGAGTAGCTGAGACTCAAACCAGACTCTCCGATATGAGTTGCAGGCATCCCCAGCTGAGGTTTTTTTTTTTTTTTTTTTTTCTTTAAAGATGTATTTATTTGAAAGAGTTAGAGAGAGAGAGAGAGAGAGAGAGAGAGAGAGCTCTTCCATCCTCTAGTTCACTCCCCAGGTGGCCCCAATGGCCAGGGCTGGGCCAGGCCTAGGCCAGGAACCAGAATTCCATTCAGGTCTCCCACAGAGGTGACAGGGACCCAAGCATTTGAGTCACCTTCCCTGCAGCCCCAGGCCCGTTAGCAGGAGCTGGATAGTAAGCAGAGTAGCTGGGACACCGACAGGGCAGTGGCTTCACCCACTGCGCCGCCCCGAGACTCCAGCCCCACCAGGTGGAGATTTACCCCTGCACCAAACACCTGCCCCACGGGAGCACTCTCTTCTGTTTCTAAAATTCTGTGACATTTTGACATCTTAAAAAAAAAAAAAGAAAAAGAAAAAGGATGAGAACATGAGATACTTATGTTGAAAATCAAACGCCCATAAAATTCAAAAAGGAATTGGTTGTGAGAGGCAAAAAGAAACAAGGCATCAAAAAAGCATGTGGCTTCTCTAACCACAGTGTAAACTCTTCCCTGATAAAGGCAGGATCTTATCTGCTGAGCCCTGCCCTGCGCAAGCCAGGGTTATAATTAGAGCTAACATTTATTAATGCTTGCTAGATACCAGGCTCTGCTCGAAGAGTTTTCCACTCTCTCTCATTCATTTGATAGTCACAACAACCCTGGGAGATGATTGTTCTTACACGATTCTACAGATAAGGACACTAGGCTTAGAGGAGTGAACTTGCCCAGGGTCACATACTCGGTCAGAAGCTAAGCCCTGAGTCACATCCAGGCAGCAGGCTCCCCGCCTGGGCTCCAGCACACGTAACTGTGCAGCCTCCATGCCAAGCACCTAGCAGGCTGCTCAGCGTTAACGTCAATGGAAAGAATAAATATTTGTCGGCTAGCGGTCTCCTATCACGCTCGCCTCAAAGCCCTTACTTAAGGTTTGTGTGGTGTTTCCTCTCATCTGCCCCACTGAGATAAACCGTAAAATTCCCTGGTGACCCGCAGGGAGGCTGTCCACCATGGCCTGGTCCCCTGTCTCAGTCAGCACCACTGCCAACCTCCCTACACATCCTGCATAAACTCAAGATGTCCCTTGCTACCTGGTAGCCATCCCGGGCCCTTAGGGGATTGGGCATTGTTCCTGTGGTCTTGGCTCTACTGGGCACTGAAAAGTGTGGTCAGAGGGCCTATTTCCGTAGCTTCTCACGGACACCCAGCACCTTGGGACTCATGTTGACCTCCAGGCTGAGTCCTTGCCGTGCAACGCCAATGGCAAATGCAATTTGTGACCCCCGTGCTCCCTATCTTTGTGCTCTGCTGGTTTCTGGAGGCCCCAGGCAAGCTTTTCTGCCATGAGCTGTTTATCACACACTTTGGTGATAATTTGGGGGAGAAGGAGCCCCCGACTGCAAGTGATGGATGAGGTGGGCTGTGACAGCCCAGGACAGGGTGAGTAAAGATAGAAGAATGTGGTGGGCGTGAAGTGATGTGCATGGAGAGGTCATCTCCACTCCAACTCTGAGCCGGCATGGGGAACAGCCCCGGAAGGAAGGGCCTCCCAGACTCATTTAAATGAAATTTGCATAGCTTCTAGACAAGAGCTACATGGGAAAACGGGCTTCCTCTCTGCTCTGCCCGCAGATGTGCAGACGTCAGTTCTGGAAATTTGCCCACTAGCAGGAAAGGCACCCATGGACATGAATCCAAGACATTAAATGTGAATCCAGTTATCTCTGATCTGAAATGAAGACTATTTTCTGGACTTGATTTGCATGACTGAGCTAAAACAAGTGCTTCAAGACAGATGCCTGCCTTACCCACTGGCACCCAAAATGGCCAGATGAACCCAGAACATGCCTGTGTATCAGTCTTATACCACATGCACCCCTTGTCCTTGAGATAATTAACTTCTACTCCTTACTGAAGGCAAACCTTCCTCTAACCTCACTCATGGACTCTGTAGTCTGTACAGGTGGCTGAGGCAACCCAAGCCTTCTAAGTGTTTAAAGACTTTACGACACAGGTGCCTTTCATTGCCTCTGGAGCCCTGGGTCTACTTTACGGCTTCTGACCTCCTTATAAAGAGAGAGAAGCCGCATTGCACTCCAGTGTTAGCCCAATTGAAATGTACATTCCTGGTTGTGCAGAATGGCCATGGAAAGTCCTTGTTGGTCATTGTGTGGAATGATTTTATTAGAATGGTTTGCACTTTTTTTTTTTTTTTTTAAGAAAACCCACCATGTAACTGCTTAAGAACAAACGTGACACATAAGGTCGCTTGAGAATATGTGTTTTGTCCAAGATAGGATGGTGGAGCTGGCACTGCAGAAACATAGTGTGGGAATTGTGAGGAATCATTTTGTGAAAATTGCACGCTCAACTGTGATGTGTGGATGTGCTCAGGGCACACTCTCTGTTCTCGACCAGGTTCAACTGCAAGGACCCAGAGCAACAGGAGATGCTGCCGAGTACTGTTTTACATTGCATTTCTGGAATTTTAAAAGTTGTCTTCTTCTTGGGGTGGGTGTTTGGCGTGGTAGTTAAGATGCCAAGTAAGACGTCTGCAAAACCACATCCGAGTGCCTGCGTTCAATTCCCATCAGCTTCCTGCTGATGCAGACTCTGGGAGAAAACACTGATGGCTCCGGTAATTAGGTTCCTGCTAAAAACATGGGAGCCCTGGATTGAGTTCCTGGCCCAGCTCTAGCCATTGCAGACATTTGGAGAGTGAACTAGTAGATGGGAGAACTCTCTCTCTCTCTCTCTCTCTCTCTCTCTCTCTGTTTCCCTGTCAGGTTAAGCATAATAATAATAATTCCCTGACTCTCAAGTTAAAAAAGAATAATAATACCGTTTTGTTCTTGGTGACTTTACGATCTCTTTATTCCTCAGTCTTCTTCTGAAATGAAGACCGACTACTTGTCGATTATCATGGACCCGGATGAAGTGCCCCTGGATGAGCAGTGTGAGCGGCTCCCTTACGATGCCAGCAAGTGGGAATTCGCCCGGGAGAGACTCAAACTGGGTAATGTATCTGTGTGCAACAGACTCTCAAGCCCGTGCTGTGCTCTGCGGGGGCAAAAGTCACTTAGATCCGGGAGTCCACCCTCCAGAAGCCAGGGAGGGGAAAGGACACACGGTGGCTACCCTAAGCAATGCCTCGACAGCAGGGCAGGTGACACGGCAGCAGCGGTCTGTTCATGCAGTACTTACGACGCACCTTGAGACCTGTCAGCCGCGGGCACTGGTCAAAGCCCTAGGGATGCAAAGGTGTCTGCTGTCAGCCAGCGTACAACTGAGTCTGGCGAGCAACAGTGACATCACGTGTCTGGGGAGAGTCGGTGCTCTTCAAAGTTGTGGATGGGAAGTCTCATCTGCACAGATCCACCGTTTACAGGCCTTGGGCTCCCCAGGGCCACTAAGGGGTCACTGACGCTTCATTTTTGAAGAGCACAGACTATTGTTTTCTAGGTAGCAGAGACGATGTAAACAGCAGGCCAATGTCCTTCTAGCTTACCCCGGTTCCTCCAACCCTCACGTCACAAAGTGAGTCCATCTCCAGCCCGCGGGGCTACAGAACAATTGGAGCCTCGATGACGCCGACCTAAAGTGTTTGGGTTGTGGTTTCTGTGAGTGTTCCACTCCCTCCTGGGTGTGCCAAAGTCATTAGTGATCGGAAGTAGGAAAACAGACTGTGGATCCAGCGTTCCTGGAGTTTGTCACTCTCAGTGCGAAGGAGCTGCGGTTCCAAGTTCAACAGCGTTGCCTCTCTCCCCACGAGCAAACCAGGCTGGGATGGGGAGGGGACGGAGAGGGTATGATGGCTTGTTGTTTTCCCCCTTGGGCTTTGAAATGATTCCACTTCCATTGTGAAAGGACTGGCCCCGGGAGCATGTTCTGCTTGGCTTTGACCAAAGAGTGGATATCATTAAACTCTGGAGAGGCACGACAAAGTTAGCAATGGCTGCTGACAGGGGTGGGGGAGGTGGGGAGACCAACTAAATTTAGAGTGGTGAAGGGCAGGTGACACACTGAATGAGTTCCTTCTGCAAGTCTCAATTCCATGGCAGCTGGCCCAGCCTGTCAGTGACCTTGGCAGGGACCCTGGGATCATTTTCCCACAATCGCGAGCCATTCTCAGCCCGCGCTGCTTTCCAGAGTTATTAGTCATGATTAACCATGTGTCTTCTTGCAGCGGAGGACACGTGAGCTGTGCCTCCCGTCCCTTCGTGCCATCCTAGAACGGCAGTGACCCCTAGCACGGTGAGGGACGTTGCTCACCCTTCCACCCAAGTCCCCGGGGGCTCTGGGGATCTACACGATCCCACTTCAGGAGAGCCTCCTTTCTGGAGATGCCACGTGCCATGACAGGGCCCATGTCTGCTGCAGCATCTCTGATGGGTGGGAGAAAGTGTGCCCTGGCATCTGCTGGCCGGGGGGATGCTCCTCCCTTTCGCGTGGGAGCATGGAGGCGTGAGAGTTGCTTTGTTGTCGAAGCCAAATAAGCGACAGTCATTTGAAGCAATGCCTGGCAAGTGAGAGCGCTTGTCTGCACAGAGAGAAAAGGCTGGTTTGATGGGCAGACTTACAGCAGGTTTATAAACGCAGAGAAATGCACAGACCAAGTTGCGTCTGACGTGGCGCTACCTCTGAGGGTTGCTGCGAGCAGCTCAGGCAAGGGAAGTTGCCATTTGCAGGACCTGAGAAATGGCTATAGTTGGAGCTGGGGGCAAAGATGTCGCTACCATTGAAATTCAGGAACAAAAGCAACCTGGTTTGGTTTTGTGGTGGTGCTTCCTCATTAACCCTGAGAGAAAAGTCAGCCCCCATAAATTTTATCACAGAAGCTAAGGTAATGGCCCGTGCTGCATCTTTCCAGTGGAAAAGAATTTAAAGTCAAAATTCACTCATGGAGGGAACCTCACCAGCAGTCTGGAATTTGGCAAATGGATGCTGCCTAGGCTGGGGCTGTCTATGGCAGAACCAGCCCTGAATGCCACACAGGGGCCTGCTAGGGCTGCCGTGCACTCTCCCCCAGGGTGGTGGGGGACACTGGCAGTCCTGGGCACTCTGGGAGGGGATCCCAATATTCTTGCCTTGTATGCCAATGACCTCGCACACTGCCAAGCTGGTTAGTGGCCTTGCAGGCAGCAACATGAAGAATTTGGGGGGAGAGGAGGAGGAGGTGAGGCCAAGCCCAGTGTTTGGGAGCTGAGCGGGATGGGGGTGGGGCTCCCAGCCATGGCTCTGAGATGGACTACAACCATCCAATGAGCTTCATGCTGTTTTATGAGGCAGCAACCAGCTTCCAAGAGAGTAAATGAAAAGATTGAGAGAGGCCAAGTGAGAACCCGTTTATTCTCACTGATGGAAGCGAAGTCCCCAGACACTTGTTAAAACAAAGTGTGTTGTGATGGCCTGGAAGGGAATGTGTGGGGGTGGACGGATTCCATCTGCTGCTCCAGGCAAGCGCCTGCAGGGGCGCTGTGTGGGCAGAGGAGCCCCGGGGTTTCTCCTCATAGTTAAGGGTAGAAGGCACTGTGGAAGGGAAACATCGTTCTTTGTCCCTAAGTAAAGTGAAGACTAAATCTCCAACCCAAATGCACCCCTTTCTAACAAGGTGTCTGCCAGAGCACTTCCCACGTGATTATATGTCAGCACTTTCCGGGGTCCACTGGGAGCTCTCCTAATTTTTAAAATGTTTATTGATTGATTTGGAAGGGAGAGTTACAGAGAGGGAGGGAGGGAGGGAGGGAGAGAGAGAGAGAGAGAGAGAGAGAGGGATCTTCCATCCATCCTCTAGTTCACTCCTCCAGTGGCTATAACAGCCAGGGCTGGACTGAGCCCAAGCCAGGAGCCAGAAACTGTATCCAGCTCTCTCATGAGGGTGGCACATGGACCCAAATACTTGAGCCATAGTCTGCTGCCTTCCCAGGAGCATTCGCGGGAAGCTGGATCTAAATCAGAGTAGCCGGAACACAAACTGACACTTCCATATGGGATGGGGGCATCCTAAGCAAACAGCTTAACTTGCTGATCCACAAAGCCCTCCACAAAGGGCTCTCTTATTTTCACAGTCTCCATGATGTTCTTGGATAATATTACTGAAGGAAGTGGGGAATATACAAGGGTACTTTCAAAAGTTTGTGGAAGGGCAGGCGTTTGATGTAGTGGTTAGGCCACACCCATCCCACATTTGCATACCTGGGTTTCCGTTCTGGCTCCACTCCTGATTGCAGCATCCTGCTAATGTATACCCAGGAAGGTAGCAGGTGATGGCTCATGTAACTGGGTTCCTGCCATCCATGTGGGAGACCTGCATTGAGCTCCTGGCTCCCACCTTCAGCCTAGCCTAGTCCCACCATTGCGGACACTTGGGAGTCAAATGGTAGACGGGAGCTCTGTCTGTCTCTGTCTCTCTATCCCTTGAATAAATAAAATTTTTGAAGTTCATGGAAAATGGCATTAAAGGATGCTTGTTTTGGTGCAAAAAAATTTTGAAATCCATGCATAGTTTTTTGCATAAGCATTTTTCATGAACTTTTTGGGCTTTTTTTTCCTCATCAGTTCTCATGCTAATATGACATTAATACAAAGAGAACAGAGTCAATGTAGCTCACAGATACACTTTTTTTTTTTTTTTTTTTTTTTTTTTTTACAGGCAGAGTGGACAGTGAGAGAGAGAGACAGAGAGAAAGGTCTTCCTTTGCCGTTGGTTCACCCTCCAATGGCCGCCACAGCCGGCACACCGTGCTAATCCAATGGCAGGAGCCAGGTACTTCTCCTGGTCTCCCATGGGGTGCAGAGCCCAAGCACTTGGGCCATCCTCCACTGCCTTCCCGGGCCACAGCAGAGAGCTGGCCTGGAAGAGAGGCAATCGGGACAGAATCCGGCGCCCCGACCGGGACTAGAACCCAGTGTGCCGGCGCCGCTAGGTGGAGGATTAGCCTAGTGAGCCACAGCGCCGGCCACAGATACACTTCTAAGACTAAAATGATAGTTCCAGGAACTTCCTGAAGGCATGGATTTCAAAGTTTCTTGTACCAAAATAAAATCTAGCTTTCCATTCCAATTCTCCATAAATGTTTTGAACCCCCTCATCTCTCTGCCCAAGTGGCATGCTGTGGGAGGAACAGCACGTAGGAGTAGCCCGGGGTGCATGTTTGACCAGAGAAAAATCAGGTCATCTCACCAGTGTACCTGTACTGATGTGCAGAGACAGGCGCACGGAGGGTGTCAGCGTTGCGCTGGTAATGGAAACTCGCCCGCACCCAAACTGCATACCTGGGGGGCAGTGAGGTAGAGGCACTGGTCAGAGGCAACGGGGAAGACATTTTCACCACTGAGTGGGCCAAAAAAAAATTATAAAGGCTCCAGTATGACAAAGGCACAGGAAAGCTACGTAAGAAACATTATGAGACACTTTTCATTTTAATGTCTTTTGGGCAAGGGGATAAGAGGATGCGGAGGGGAGGAAGAAAGGTTAATTACCTGAAGGCACACTATCCAAGCAGTCTGAGAAAAAAGAATCGCTCAGGAAAGGAGGGGTCGTGGTACGTTACTCAGAAGGTGAGCACTGACTTTGGGCCTGTGGCGCTTTGATGTTGTTTGTACAAGGTGATTTCAAAAAGTTCATGGAAAAGTGGAATTAAGGCTAAGTTTATTTGGATGCAAAAATATTTTGAAATCCATGCAGTTTTTTCATAATACACAGCTTCCATAAACTTTATTTTTAGAGATTTTTTTATTATTCGAAAGGCAGAGTAACAAAGAGAGGGAAAGACACAGAGAGGAAAAAAAGAGATCTTCCACCTGCTGATTCATCCCCCAAATGGCCCCTGGGGCTGGGCCAGGCCAAAGTCAGGAGCCTGGAACTCCATCCTGGTCTCCCACGAAGGAGGCAGGGGTCCAAGCACTTGGACCATCTTCCACTGCTTTCCCAGGACTCTGGGTCTGAAACAGAGAAGCCAGGACTAGAACTGGTGCTCCGATATGGGATGCCAGCATTGCAAGCAGCAGCTTAACCTGCTGTGCCACAACGCCAGCACCTCCATTAAATTTTGAAGCCCAAAGTTTTCAAAAAGTTTTTGCACCAAGATAAACTGATACTAAATTCTATTGGCCACAAACTTGGGGACCTGCACAGCTGGCAGCGGGGAAAGTACTGGGAAGATTCAGACAGGGTCCTTGTCCCTGCGAGCCAAGTTGGCTCACTGGAAGGAAGGAAAAAAAACCAGGTTTACCCTTGGTGATAGCATAGCCCAACTGGTACAGTGAAGGAAGCCTTGTCTTGTTACCACAGCTGGCAACTGCTTCTCTGGGGTCGAAACAAGTTCCTAGCAGTGGTCGCGGGGCTCCCATGCTGAGCCACGAGGATTTATAATCATTGCATAGAGACATGCTGGCAAGACTGGGGATATTTTGCCTGAGAGGGCAGTCTGAGAAATGGCTTGGCGATTATTACTGAGTTATGAAGCATTATTATAACCCAGAGCAGAAACCACCGTTCTCTATTTCTCTCTTTTAGCTGAAAACAGATGAGAAGAAATGACCTTAAGTGGCAAGAAGAGGCCTTAGGTTAAGTAATCACGTTATTAAACAATGGAGAGACCACCCAGGATTTGGTAGCCTCTCTCCTAGGAAACTGCCTCCTAGACAGCCAGCCTCCTTCCGAAGGATGTGGGGTCGCGCGCAAAAGAGAGCCGGGGTGATGGGAAGGCTCCAGAAACGTGTCAGCTCATCTGAGATCCATTGAAAGCTACATGCCTTGAGGAAAAGGCCATTTCCTTCCTGAAAAAGACTTCAACTCACTCTGCTGACTCGGCAAACAAACCTACTGTCTTCTTTTCCTTGCAGGCAAATCGCTTGGCCGAGGGGCTTTTGGAAAAGTGGTTCAAGCATCTGCGTTTGGCATTAAGAAATCCCCCACCTGCCGGACAGTGGCCGTGAAGATGCTGAAAGGTACGTGTGTGGCAGGTCGGTGTTCAGCTGAGCCAGCCCTACGTGTGCTCCCTATGCTGGCCCAGGTTGACAGTGGTGCAAGTAGAGACACAAGCCATGCCTGCTCTGGTCACGGAAGGCCCCTCTACTCCAGGAGTTTCCCGTGAGGCCAGCCAGCACTAGCTCAGAATAAACCTTAACCATGGAACAATCCAGCACTTCTGATGGGAAAAAGGTCTCTGTCACCTGCAAGGCCTTTCTCCTCTCCTGTTGTCTCAGCCTCTTCACTACCAAGGATGTAAGCCCATTGTAGCTGTAGGTTCCAAGCATTGACATGATCCACTCCGACGCTGCCTTAAGGGAAACCTAGCTGCACATCACAAATCCCAAGGGCTTAGAACGTGGCCTTGACCTGACTGTAAAGGGAGACTATAAATCTAGGACAACTCAGCTGATCAGAACACCACATGATTTTACATTATCCAGCCCTGACCACTAAAATATTTCTTCTTTAGAAACTGCAAAAACCAAGTTATCTTTCTAGGGCTGAAAGATACTACCACTCGGTGAAATACTAGGAGAAAGAGCCAAATCACACAAATGAGTCATGGCTACCAGCATAAGAGACAGAAAATGAAAATCTGCAAAAACTGCATAAGCCTAATGTCTCACCCATTCCTGTGGGTGCACTTCAAAAGTCAAGGGAAATGGAATTACAAGATACATTTTGGTACAAACCCTTTAACGTTTAGAAAACGCTTCAGCATTCGTGATGGAGAGCTCATGCCATTTCAAATCGTTTTAAGACAAAAAAAAAAAAAAAAAAAAAGGAGCAGGACGACTACCCAGTACTAGCACAGAATCCCGGGAGGGAGCCGTGTGCTTGGGAAGACTTTGATTATCCTGATCCTTTGCCAGCCCGTGAGGTAGACAGGATTCTTCCCAGTGTGCAGATGAAGAAATATGGCCCCAGAAGGTTAAATAGCCTTTGCGAGGCCACACTTGGCTCTGTGCGTAAGTTGAGGGTTTGTATGCAAGGCCTGAAAAATCATCCTGGCATGCTTCAGGGAGGCAGTCCAATATCTAACATGGAGGGAAAGTCAAAGCCGGATCTGGAGGAAGCTCTGCGCCCTCAGCCGGTCCCGCTTCCCAGCTCACTGCCACCCACCGTGTCAAGGAGAGGCACAGAGGATGTCTGAGTTATTCTGCTCTGCGTCCAAGTTCACACCTGGGATCCTGCCTAGAAAAGAAACAATCTGGTCAGCAGATTTTGGCCTGCGCCAAAAGGGTATAAATGCCTGGAGGGTCTGATGGGGGAGAAGATTCTGACTCGAGGTTTTTTGTTTCTTTCTAAAGAATCCATAGAAAGTTTCTATGTAGTACAGAAATCGTGTGTCCAATATCTTTCTAACTGCACATCTTTTATTAAGTCATCAGCATGAGTTGAAATAAAAAAAAAAAAAAACCCTGCCAAATGACCCACTCTACAAAATTCCTTAAAAACCATTTCCATTCAGCTCTCTTGCTTAAATTGGTTGGCCAGCTGTATCTGGGAGAAACAGAAGAGGCAGAATGTCAAACCAAGGCCACGAGTCAAAGCCCTTTCAAAGGCTCTTTGAGCAACAATCATAACCTTTTGGACCTAACATTCATGTCTGAAATGGGAAGAATAAGTATGGTTATCCAAAAATACTTGTTAAGCATCTATTCTGAGCCAGCCACAGCCCCAAGGGGAGGCTTCTGGTGTTTACTTGGTTATTATTAAAATATGATTTGTGCATATGAAATACCATGTTAACATCTAACAACATGAAATGCACATACCTTTAACCCACTTCCAACACTCTAATCCTACAGAAACACTTGCAGATGTGCACAAAGATTACACACATGCTGTCTACCACAGTGTTATCTGTCCTAGCCAAACAACTACAGTCTAAATATCTGGAGGCTTGCTAATCCATTTCACAGACTAGAAAAGGCCTCTGACAGATTGGAAGTGGAGAAAAACAAAATTTAAGAATACATCTGCGTGCAGATATGATCGCCTTCAAAGCTGACTTCTCATGGAGTATACATAAAAGTTCTGAACCGCAAGCTAGTAACAGTGGCAGTTTGGAAGAAGGTCAGTGGATCCTCCTTTTACTGCACAAATTTCTACTCCGACTCACATTGTTGGACTGTGTTAAGGCAAGACTCTTGGACCCTTCTGTTTCTAAAAATAATTTCTAAAGTTTGGATGCCTTAGACAGGAGCCAATGAGAACAAACACATGGAGGCGGTAGACTCTGCTAACTCCTGGACTGATGTGTTCCTTATCTCTCAGAGTGAAGTTGCAGTCAGATGCTACGGATCCTCCCAACCCAAGATAACCCTGTGAACTCTGGGGCAGGAGAAAATAACACATGGCAAAGATGTTTACAGAAGCAGCCATTCTGCCCTAGCTGGGTCCCCCGGTGCCCCTTCTCTGAGACTCTCCAGTGGGGGAGGGGGTGCCTCCCCTGCCCAGAGCGTTCTTGCTGCACTTGGTTCTGCCAGAAGGGAAGCCTTTGGCTGGCCATGCCCAGCTCTGAGTCAGTGCTAGATGAAGAGCACTGGGTCCACCAAGAGGAAATGTCCAATGACTAACCCCAGCACTGCACTGGGCCTTACTGTAATCAAAAGGATGTTGGCTCGGGAGGGTAGGAGTAATGAAAACAGTCTGGAGGCTTGGCCTCTCTGCAGAATGCGGGGAAGTTAATGAAGCCACCGGCTGAGCACTGACAAACAAGGCAGGCAGGAATACTGCTTCTGCCGGAAGCAGCTCTACTGTCCTGTCGCCCTGACTCTTCCTTCTTCTCACACAGAGGGAGCCACGGCCAGCGAGTACAAAGCCCTGATGACTGAGCTCAAGATCTTGACCCACATTGGCCACCATCTGAACGTGGTTAACTTGCTGGGAGCATGTACCAAGCAAGGAGGTAAAGGAGGTGGGGAGGGCTCCACCCCGCAGGGCGCCGGCTGAAACAGGGGTTCCCTAACACCCAGCTCCTTCCCCTATCTGTGCTTCTTCCCCCTCCAGCAGAGTGGCCTCTCGCTAGCTCCAGGTGACACAATTTATCCACTCACAGAAGGGCGTTCCAACCCTAGAAATGCCTTCCCTACACACAGATTCAGAAGAGACGACCCCTTCCAGCCTCTAGGTCAAGCGGAGGGCGTTCTTCTCTCAGGGTGACTTGGAGAGGGTGTGACCTAAAGAGCTAAACTTGAAAGGCTGCACATTTCTCGAAGCTTCCTCTAAATGCACGACTCACCACCACGGGTGAGATGGCGGGAGCAGGTGATGGGGGATAGCCAGAGAGGCCCTTCCTTTTCAGCTCCACCGTGTAGACAGGTCTTACTCCCTGGGACAAGTGGAAGGGGCAGGGCTGTGCCCTGGGACGAAAGGCCCATCATGGTCTCACCGACCTTTCTTCCTACTCAAGGGCAAGGCTAGTGCTTGGGTGTAGACGGTGCAGTTAATGATTGAGCCAGAAAAAAAGGGGCTTGGAGGTGAGGGCTGGGGACCTCGACACAGCCCCGCCTGCTTTCCCATTTAGCACCTGTTAATAGATCAGAGCTAATGAGACCGCCCACCTCTCTGCCCGTCCATGAGACACGGGTGGCGGGATGGAAGCCCTGCTGAAGGCAGGATTCTGTAAACCAGGTAGGCAAGGAGACAGGCAAACTGTGCTAGCACCTTCTGTTCCAGAACCCCGCGGGAGGAGGAGGTGCTATGAGGATTTCCAGCACTTTCAAAAACCAGCAAAATCCTGGTAGTAATCACACAGCCAGGACAAGCCCAGACGCCGGCAACCTCGACCTAAGGCACCCTGCCACTTCCGCACCCAGCATCCGGGGTGTGCTCCCAGCATGCCCCACAGCAGCAGCTCCATGGAGCACCTCCGGGGTCATGCGTGCTTTGACCCGGAAGTGGTGCTTGTGGTGGTTGGGGGGGAGCAGGCAACAAAAGAAAGGAGTGGTTTGTGCCCCACCGGGCATCTGCAATGCAGCCGGGCTTCCTTCCCATCCTCTTGCTTCTGTTAGACCAGGGGTTGGCAAACCACAGCCAGTCTCTAAGCTGAGAACAGTTTGTGTGTTTTAAGTGGTTGGGGGAGGAGAGAAGATCAAAAGATGAAGAGCCGTGTAAAATTGCGTGGCATCCGTTTTCGGCATTCACACGTGTGTGGGAGCACGGACACCCTCCTCTGGTGGTTTTCTGGGACTGGCTCCAGCACTGAACAGTCGGGTGCCCTGCAAAGCCTGATCCTTAACGGCAAGAGTTGACGAATCCCCTGCTTGAGACCCTCCAACACAGCCCGAAACAAACTGTGCAGACGACCCCAAGTGGCAGCGCTGCTGGACAGAGGCGGGCCTGCTGGCCTGTTCTCCGCCCTGCGAGGGACAGAGGAGCTGCCCAGTAGTCTAGGCTTGCTGTGACAGTGACCAGGAGCCACTCACCCGCCAGGGTCCGGTTCAGGGCCAGGGAGGGTAGCTGGCTTTTACCTCTCCCCGACTCAAAGTCATTTTTCTACTTCTCCTGTGCTCTTTTTCTTTCCCTCTTTGCTTCCCCTGCGCTGCCCCTGCCTCGCCCCCCCCCCACTCACCCCTTCATCTTCTCCTATTTCTATTGTAAGGTTTAACCTTACCCTTCCCAGCTTCCTTTGCAGAAGTCACTGTGCTCCGGGGCCTCTCAGCCCCCAGTTGAGCTCTAGCAAGGCAGGTTGGGTGGTGGCTTCTCTGACACCCATGGAGGGGTCCACTGGCCCCGGGGTGGCGGACATGTGCTGTTTTGGCTGCAGGGCCGCTGATGGTGATTGTGGAATACTGCAAATATGGCAACCTGTCCAACTACCTCAAGAGCAAACGGGACTTATTCTTTCTCAACAAGGTAAGGGTCTTACAGGTTGGAGTCTGAGTTTCCCTTTGGGTTGCAGCAACTTACAGCTTAGACCTGTATTGTTCTAGTAATGAAATTGGGGCCGAAAACTCAGTTCTGCTTATTCCATCTCCTTTTTCCATGTTTTACTTCCACGCTAATTTGTGGATAGCACAGAAAATCGTTTGACCCCAGCATATGCAGCAGTAATGCGGTATGATAATGTTACTTCTCTGTCGCCCCTCTGTGTTTGTCCATGAATTTGTGTGCACGCCCATGACACACATTCACGTCAGGGGGCTTTAAAAAGTCTGTGGAAAAAATGGAATTCCAAGAAAATGCACATTTTCCCATGAATTCTTTGACGTCCCCCTTGTGCAGTCTCACATATTCAAGTCACTGATTTCTTCAAGGAAGATGCTGGCACGGGTAACTGTCTCCATTTATGAGGTTAGGGAAGGAAAGGCCAAACCCACTGGGTGGCTTGGACAGGCAGCAATAGACCACTGATGGGCCCAGAGCTGGAAATCATTTTCTTTTCTTCCTTCTGCCCTTTCTCTCACTTCCTAGCACTGTCACTGCTCAGGTCATCCCCATACACACTCTGAACCAGTCTTACCAAGAAATAATTTACTCAAACTTTATGATAACACGTTGCACCAGTGCTGTGTCCTTCCCTGGGCTCAAGAAGTCCAGTGAACAATGAGTCAATGTTATTAACCAGTAAGGGATCTGTGTGGCAAAGAGATGAAATATTTAGTTTCCAGAATCAGACTTTTGTGATTTAAATCCTGCCCCTGCCTCTTCTGAAATCTGGGACCTTGAGCCAGTAACTCGATTTCTCTAAGTTTCCACTTCCCCATTTGTGAAACAGAGCTAATACTAGAACCCAACTGATGGAATTGTTGGGAGAATCAACATATCTCAGTGAAGCATTCAATACATGTTGACCACCACCATCATCCACATCTACCCTCCGAGACAAAAAGATTGGGTGAGTTCAACTTAATGCCACCGATCTACATGGCAGATAAAGAGTCAGACACCAGAGAATGGGTCCCATCTCTGTCAAGAATCTTTGCACAATACTAGACAGCTGGACCATTCTCTCAGCTCCCAAACTTTGATCTAACTAAAGACACAGGGGATCCACCAGCCTGGTGATATGGTCTGCAAGAAACACTTTCCCCAGATTTTAAACCAGGCCTTCTAATTGGTAGAATCTTGAAACTGAAAGGCATCTCTTTGATCATCTGGTTCACACTGGCAGAGATAGAGGTGCCCAGAGAAGTCACATGATTGGCTAAAGGACACACCCACCTCCCACACGAATCCAGCTCTCCTGACCCTGCACCCACTGCTTTCCTGTGCACCACACTGGATAAGGGGAAGAAACAGCAGCAGTGGAAGGTGGTGCCCTGGGCTGTGAGCAGTGCATATTCTTTTCGGTCCTGAAGTCCTGGACTAGGTTCAGAAAGAACTAAGCCAGCAGGACGCCCTGGGGATCTTGGCAGGATGGGACATTTGGGTTCGTGCGTCCTTTGTTTTAAAGAGTCTGCTTCCTTCCCTGGCTATATTTAATGGTTCGCCTCCCTTGCACCTTGGTGGAGCTTAGTGTTTTCATGGAGAACCCACAATTACCTTTCCTATTTGGATCCTAAAGGACTAGAGAGAGGAGACGAAAGAAAAATGAACCAAAAAGAAAAACAGCTGACTTGAAAATAGGATGTTCCATATTCCCAATAAATTCAGTAAATTCACCTTTGTTTCACAGAGAGGGTTACCCATAAGCCAAGCTGGATGAACCACTGGTTGGAGGGCGGGAGGCAGGTGAGAAAGTCTAAGTTTGAGTCCTTAGGGGCTGCCCGAGAGACTAGCCCAGAGGTCACTTTTCTCCCCCAGGCCATTGCTAGCACTCTCCACTGCCCTCCTGTTCTGGGAGAGGGTCTTGTGAGAAATCAAATCCCAATCTCACTGCCTCCTGGAGACCTGGCCACCAATGGTGAGACTCTCCACCTGCCCTCAGGCACACTTGGTGCCCTGGGCTTCGCACTGTGCAAAGAAGAAGAGCTAAGCGAGCATGGAGCATTTGGTGGGTGGGGGTTGTGCATTCTTGAGCCCTGCCTCTCTCTGGCCACACAGAAGGTCCGTTGTTGGGGAACAAGGGCCTCGGTACTCCACACACACACCCTTGCAGAACTCCACACACACACCCTTGCAGAAGGTCTGTTGTTGGGGCTGTCCTGCCAGAAGCTCCTCCCTGTCTTTTGCCTGCTCCTACTGTGCCCTCTAGTGGAGGGACCACTCCTGCTGTGTGACATTTCTAGAAAAGCCACTGAAGGATGAGAAGGCTGGTTAGAGGGAGCCCTGCTACGCTGTGCAGGTGGATAAAGAGATGCCACCAAACCCCACTCCCTCTCAGCCTCTGACTCAGGATCGCCCTCTAGCGGAAGCTAGGTGAGGCACGTGGTCCAATCCTGAAGCCACTGCAAGTGCCGCCTTTTAAGTGTCGCTGTTAATACGTGAATTCTTAAAGGCAGTAGAAGTCTTTTCCGGTTCCATGTGAAAACCCTGAACCAACTCCTTTCCTCCAACCCATTAAATCACCGCAGGATGGTAGAGGGTTTGGGATGAGGAAAATGCTACCCAGAACGTGAACATGAAGACCAAGCTCACGTGATGGTTGGAAAGAGCCAGAGGACCAGCCAAAGCTCAGGTGCCCATTCCACGCAGAAAGGCCTTTTCCACCTCTGTTAGGATCAGAATATATCTTTGAAAAGAAATGATCGTGTTCCCTCCTCCAGGAAAACTGGAGAAATTGGCTACGGTAGCCTACTCTTAAAGCGTCTCATGGAATTTCAAATGAAGCCCCAGGTACCCCGGGGGATACTTTTCCATCATTCACATTATCTTGCACAAGATGATATGTGGTGTGCAGAAGCAGCTACTTGTCTTCTTGGCCAGACTTAGGGGCACGTGAACTGGCTTCTCCACATCTAAGAACTACTTGATGGGGTGAGTGCCCAGGGTTCAAGTCCCGTCTCCTCCATTTCTAATCCAGCTTCCTGCTCCTGGGCACCATGGGAGGCAGCAGATGATGCTCAAGTACTTGGCTCTCTGCCACCCGTGTGGGAGACCTGGGTTGAGTTCCAGGTTTCTGGCTTCAACTTGGCCCAGCCTCAGCTGTCACGGGCGTTTGGGGATTGAACAAGTGGATGGAGGCGCTCTCTCTTCTCTCTGTTTCTCTCTGCGTGGGTATGTGTGCATGTGCCATTCAAATAAAATTTAAATAAATAAAATTAGAAAACTCCTGTGCAAAATTTTGGGAAGATTAAAAGAGTAAGCATTCAGTAAGTGCCATCTGCTTCACATTGGAATTAACAGTCTTAAATCTGATCTACGATGCTATGTAGAAGCCCGGTCAGGAGCAGAAGAGAGCCCACAACCCCACAAGTTGCCAGGCGTGTGGCCACCACTGTCCATTCTGCAGAATGAGGCCCTCAGCTCGGGCCCCTGGTCTCCAGCGTAGGGCCCAATTTCCCCGGGGCTGACCTAGAGTGCCCCTTCCTCACCTGTGTACCTTCGTGGTCTGTTCAAAGGAGGCAGCATTACACATGGAGCCAAAGAAAGAAAAACCGGAGCCAGGCCTGGAACAAGACAAGAAACCCAGACTAGACAGCGTCACCAGCAGCGAGAGCTTCGCGAGCTCCGGCTTCCAGGAAGATAAAAGTCTGAGCGATGCTGAGGAAGAGGAGGGTAGGTATCGAGTCCTTCCTGTCCTGCGGCCTGGGATATTTTTATAACATACTGTGCATCCCTGAAATTGTTTTCTTATTTCTCGCCCTTAATAAACATCCGTGGGAGACTCCAAGGGTAGTGGCCTGAGGAGATAAGATTTGAATTAAGATTATTTAGAGTTACTCATTCTGACAGGGACAGAATTGTCCCTCCCGGTCCCCCACCCTTCAGGGCCTCTATGTCTTCAGGGCTCATCCTCTGGCCCCACCGTGCTTAGGTGAAATGGGCTGGAGGGCCTGGAACAATCTCTGCTGCTCATGTTGGAACTCAGATGCTCTTGCAAATGAACTCTGACCCACATGTCGCTTTGGTTTATGTTTTGCTAACCTTGTTCCACTACATTGGGATTCGGTGGACTCACAAGCGCCCTGACAGTTACGGTGCTCATGTTTTCCAGACTTGGATGAGTTCCACAAGCAGCCCATCACCATGGAAGATCTGATTTCGTACAGTTTTCAAGTGGCCAGGGGCATGGAGTTCTTATCGTCCAGAAAGGTCAGTCTGGTTCTTTACAGTGGCTCTGCTTTGCCAGGCTTGCACGCCATCTTAGCAACAAGTCCATTTCTAATCCCCCACCCTGCTTACACCTGCAGCTTGAAGTGTAGGATGATTGTCACCACACGAGCCTTCATTTGCCCGGATAGGACAAGGTTTAAGGATGATGAACTTTGGACTTCAGCAGGCGGAACCGGTTTCCAGGGACAAACGTCATCCCGGGGTTTGGGCTTCTCATTCTGGCAACCGTTCTGCCCGGCTGGCTGATTTTCAAACACTGGCCAGAATCTCAGAATCTGTGACTCCCCAGGAGTGCTTCTAGTAATACAGCCCTGGAGGGCCCTCCCCCAAGGCGGCAGCTGGCGACAGATCTGCCCTGAGCAGCTCGAGATACAAGGCTTGGCTGGGGTGGGGGAGGGGAGTTTGGGTCACTAGAAGACCTCAACTTGCCAGCAACCATGCTGACCAGGGCACCACCTGCAAACAGTAGCCCGGTGCTTTTGGCGCTTTTCTTGGCTTCAGGGCCTTGAGGGACCTGGCTTTGCAGAGACGCGCTGTGTGTTTACGGTCACCGTGTGCTCGCCAGCCGCTTCCTTTGCCGCATGTGAAACGGATCAGGGAATTAAGACTGATGGCCCCCAGAAGGCACAGGAAACCAGTCGGTTAAATCAAGGAAGTGCATTGATTCTGCGGCCGTCTTTATTATAGTGCATTCATCGGGACCTGGCAGCCCGGAACATTCTTTTATCTGAGAACAATGTGGTGAAGATTTGCGACTTTGGCCTCGCCCGGGATATTTATAAGAACCCCGATTATGTGAGAAAAGGAGATGTGAGTAGGGTTTGGTGTTTATTTGACTCCTTTATACTCTGTCATTCTCAGACCACAGGCTGAAGCCCTCAGTAAATATTTGCACTTCCTCGGCTGTAGCCGCCGCAGCCGCCACGTGCTCCTGGTGTAGGATACACAGGCTCTGCCAACCAGACAGCCCTGGCGCGGGCTTGGAAGGGCTGTGTGTCCTGCTCCTGTGTGTCCCTCATCCCTGGCTTGGTCCCTGTCCTTGGGGCGGAGGCCCTGGTCAGATGCTCTCCTTCCCTCCCACGCACTCCTGGGGGAGTTGCTTGTCCCACTGAAAAGAACAGCCTGGACTCTCCCCCTCGAATAAACCGGATGATGGATTCAGCAGGTGTGTGTGCGTCTCAGGAAAGGGTGGGGTCGGCGGCGGCCGGGCGCAGTGTCTCCCTGCTGGCTTGTGCAGTCGCCCCTGCTCTTCTTGTTTGTGAACACCGTGTGATTTTCTCCTTCCGTGCCTGACCTCCTGTGGCCTCCGGACTCCTGTCTGGACGCCACTGTGGACTCATCAGACTCCAGTGGGCAGGCTGATAGCCAGAGAAGGCCCCACCCCCACAGCTTCTGCTTCAGGAAGCCTTGGTGGGGCCTGAGAACTTGCATTTCTAGCACACTGCCAAGTGATTCTGCCAGAGCTGCTCCCAGGACTTGGAGACCCAGTGTCCCACACTCCCTCATCAGAGGGGACAAAACACACGTCCCGTGGAGCCCCACTGCGCAAAGCTGCCATCTGGCCTTTTTCTCTTTGCTATCTGTCCGTGTTTGTTTCAGCTTCTTCCCGCCCTCCTCTGTCTTAGCCATCCCCATCCATATATAGTGGCAGGCCTCATTCACTGGGATGCTTGCTCTATGAAACAGAAGGGAGATTTGCATGCTTGAAAATATTTCTTTCTAAATATATATTTTCTGAAAACCAAATACTAAATGTTTAAACTCTAAGTCAGCTTCCCCTTTTCCTGCACCTTTGCCCACTCTCCCTATTCAGAAACTTTTAGAATCCTGCCTTTTTGCCTTTCAAATCATCTTCCTTGGAATTAAAAAATCCTAGAAATCACCAATTTTCAGGATGCCTTCTAATTCAAACCAGTCTTTTCTAAGCCCTTACGTGTTCCTATGGAATGTAGAATGTTTGGGGGAGGATTCCTTTTTAAAGTTTTTTTTTTTTTTTAATATTTATTTGCAAGTCACAGAAAGAGGATAGACAGACACACACAGAGAGACATCTCCCTAACCCCCTGCAGCAGTTGGGGCTGGGCCAGGTTGAAGCCAGGAGCCAGGAACTCAACCTGTCCCTCCCTCGTGGGTGGCAGGGACCCACACACTTGAGCCATCACCGGCTGCCTCCGCGGGTGAACGTTAGCAGGAAGCTGGGATCCGAAGCAGAGCAGGGACTGGAACCCAGCGCTTCACCAATGTGGCATGCATCTTTACCCCGCACCAAACGCCCGCCCAGGGGCAGAAGGATATTTCACGGAGCTGTAGAGAATCTTCTGGACACACCAGAGGGGCTTCCTAAGCGTGTGTTGCCCTCATGGGCCTCAGCTCAGCATGGCGTAGGAGCGCACGGCAAAACGTTGATAGAAAATGTGTATTATGAAAAACACATGGATTACTTTTTTTTGGCACCAAAATAAACTCACTTTTTAATTCCATTTTGCTTTCACTGGGGTCCGTCTGGTAGCAGAGCAATGTGCGCGGTGAGAGTGCTCTCCCTGTTAGGAAGCCGGGGCTGCTGTAGGAAATGATTTCTGGGCCAAGTGTGATCTGGGAGGTGACCCTTGGGCACGTGGGTTGCGGCTGCTTTGTGTTCTTGACCTTCTGCTCACAGTCACCCTGCTTCCTTCAGACTCGACTTCCTCTGAAATGGATGGCTCCGGAATCCATCTTCGACAAAATCTACAGCACCAAGAGCGACGTGTGGTCCTATGGAGTCCTGCTGTGGGAAATCTTCTCCCTAGGTAAACCTGGGCAGGGGCAGCGGTCAGACAGCCCAGAAGTGCTTGCCCCTGGGAGGGACACCACCTTCAGATCAGCCTGTGAAACAGCTGCCAAGTCCTAGGGAGGCCTGGGTCCAGGGAGACGCTCGGATGGGTGTTAGCATTGTGTGCACCCCTTGCTGTGGAAAGGGTCAGTAGGGTCATCAGTGGCTTACACAGATGGCAGAAAAACTGAGGTCAAGTTTATCTTTCTCTGCTCCATGCCCCCTTCTCCTACTTCCTCAAACAGCCAGCTCCCTTCCCCTTCGCCCCCTACGCTACCTCCCCTGTCAGAATTTCTTCTTAGAGAGGCCTTGATAAGCACACTGAACCAGTAGAGAAGGTGCTGTTAGAAACAGGAGGCCTTTCTAGTGCTTCTAGTACCTACTAGCACCTTCTAGTACTTTCTCGTGACATTATCATTACACAGTCCAGGACCCTGGTTTACGATAAAGAACAGTGGTTGTATTTATTCTGCTGGCAGCGGCATCCACGGTGGGTGGCTAAAAGCCGTGCTCCAGGTCCCATGTACACAGATGCACAACAAGCCCACATCTGCTCACAGACATACAGCACAGACCTGAGGCCTCCCTAACTCGGGTTCTAGCCAAGAGTCTTTTGGGCTTTGCCAGAGATTTGCCTTTGCAGCCCATCGGAGCAAAAGCCACCGGGTAACATCCCTGGTTTCCTGTAATGTGTGAAAACGATTCGCCTGCTTTAATGACAGGCACCTGCTGCTTCCAGTCTTTGAAAGCAGCCTGGCGGCCACAGTGATCCCTCAATGACACAGTGCCAGCACCGCGCGTCTCCCAGCTGCTTCCTACCAGCAGCGATCCCTGGAAAGTGCAGACAAACAAATGCTGGGGTCGAGTAGGGTCAAGGGCTGGGACAGAACAGACTGGGAGGCCTTGGCCACCCCTACCCAGTCTAGAGTCTCCGTAAAAGTTGGAAAGTGACAGGAGGATCTTGGACATTGGCAAAGGCAGCATCGAGGCGCTTCTAGCATCTGTAAGTCTGCAGTCTCCTGACCCCGGGCAGCCCTGGCCTCACACCGTTCAGTCTGGACCTGGAGCCCAAGGCCTGTCCCCACTCCTAGTTTCCCTGTGCCGCAAGATATTGGTGAAAAAAAAAGTAGGGAATCCAAATCATCCTCCCCCAGGGAGGTAGGGAGGATCCACAAGTCCATTGGCTTTTAAAGGAGAGGTTCATTTACCCGGGCCTGAGCCTCCAGTGACCATGCCCCTTCCCTGACAATGAGGAAACCAGAGAGGCCTGAGAGCATCAGACCCCCAGCACTGTGGGCCTGGCCAACCACGCATGTGTCGCCAGCTGGGGTCCGTTGAGCCCCTCCGTGCGTGCGTGCATGTGTGTGTGTGTGTGTAGCTGCACGCTGGAGCCATCCCTGGGAATGTATACCTAAGATGTCACTCTAGTGGAAGGGCCGTTTGTAGCCTGCAGCCGTAACGTGCCCTATGCCTCGTGCCCTGCCCCCCCCACCCAGGTGGGTCTCCATACCCAGGAGTGCAGATGGATGAAGACTTCTGCAGCCGGCTCAAGGAAGGCATGAGGATGCGGGCGCCTGACCACGCGACCCCTGAAATGTGAGCACTCTCCCCACTTCCTCCACGGCGGCCCCCAGAGAGCGCTGGGGTGGGTGTGGAGCGCCCCCTCCAGGCGGCGGGCCCCCTCAGCCCGCTGCGGGTTGCGCAGGGTACACAGTGGTCCGCCTGTCCCTCACCCACTCCCCTCCTGACCCCTGCCGCGGCTTTGCAAGGCCTGCAGCTGGGAAGTGAAGTTAGACTCTGGGTGTCTGGGCTGAATCTAGGCCAGAGGGCTAGACCACCCAGGAAGTGAATGTGGGACCTTGGCCCTCCTCACCTGGTTGGGAGCCAAATGAATTGGGGACAGAGGGCTGCAGGCTGCTGTGGACCACTCCTCCGTCTGCACCACGGGCCCACAAGGGGCTTGGTTCAGGCTGTAGGAGAGGAAAGGGGAGTTTCCTGACAGAAGCCGTAACATCTTCCACAGCGGGCTAGCTGGGCACCATAAGGGCTTTGGAATCGGTTCGAGAGGCGCAGGCCTAGAGCCCTAGCGGTGGCCCCCTGCTGTGCCTTCCTGGCGACCCTGGGGGGAGCCCCACCCGCCTCTCTGGGGCACTCCTCCTGAGCCCTGTGCAGGTCCTGCACTTGGAGGCCAGGGCAGGAATGCGATGACACCTGCAGTTTCTTTGGCACTGCTGACAAAGGCTTTGGGCCTCCAGGAGGCGGCACTAGGTTTCCTGGCCTGGCCTGACCTGGCCTGGCGGGCGGCCCTCTCCCTCCCATCCGCACAATGGGGTCCTGTTCGAGGCGTTTGGGGAGGAGCTGGAAGGAGTTAAGGAAATGCGGGCTCGGCCAAAGGGCAAGGCCACTGCTCTTTCCTGGTGTCTCAGGACAAGGCTGGGGAGACCCAGGCTGGGGAGCTAGCTGGGTGACGGGGCCAGGACTCAGGCCTGCAAAGACTCAGGCAGGGGCAGAGGACAGCAGGCACAGGGCCTGCGCTCTTCCATCCTGCCTGGGGTCCTCACCAGGGAACGGCAGAGCTGGAGGCAAGAGCCCCTCGGGAGAGCTAGGGACCAAGTTAGATTAGCGCCGGGAGCTGGCCTGGGACGAAGAGTGTGGAAGGCTGTGGGAGTCTCAAGTTTTTTGCTTCCCCAGAACTTGGCCAGAGAAGCAAACCCCAGGAGACCTGACTTTGCACCTCCTGGTTTCCCCGCTGATTTCCCACGCATCTCCTGGTCTGGAGGTCCTGGCATCGGCCTCTGAACTGGACAGACGCTGTGATGAGACGCTGTGTCTGCCGTCAGCTCAGCAGCGATGGAGACACCGTGGGAGCTCAGTCCCCTGGACCCACAGGGTCCTGCAGTGTGGGGGCTGTGAGATAGCAGAAGACCCCGCGTGTCTGGCGGAAGCCCACTCCCACTCCATCCACTGTGCCCCCTCTGCGCCTTGCATCATCTGCAATCCGTGGGACTCAGTTCTCCTTACTAACAGTGATGACAGTAATTACAAGTACTATGGAGTCACATTCAGTCACTCAGCATTTCTCCAGTGCTCTAAATGCTAGCCAGTAGCCACTAGCCACTGTTTTAGAGGCACTGTTAACATTACATTGATTGATGGACCTAATGCTCATAGCAGCCCAATAGGATAGGTGTTATTATTATAATACCCATATTACAGATGAGAAAACTGAGGCACTGGACATCTCCATGATTTGCCCAAGGCCACATTGTTAATAAGTTAAGCAAACTTGGTGTGAGTCCAGATGTCCTATATACGTGCAAGGTCTCTTTCCAGTTCTTTATCCACGTTCTGAAACAAAAGAACTCTGACGGTACAAAGTTGCATCTGTTCCGGACTAAACTTCCTTGGGCTTTATCAGACTTTCAAGTCTTTACATGAACTGCACCCGGGGTCCCCGGAACCCCAAGCAGTCACTAGAGAGAGGCTCAGCTCTGGGGGAGGGGAACATTTCTGGGAGAAACATCCAAACGTGACGGGAAGCTTTGTGAAAGGTGCGTGTGGGAAGCCAGAGCTCAAGCCCTCAGCGTCTCCCCAAGCACATGGAAGCAGAGGCAGTCAGTGATGGCCGTCTGGTCTGTTCCACCAGCAGGAGGACCCGGGAGAGGACAGCGCTCTCGGCTTCTCAGAACTGGGCTTCTGAACTTGGCCGAAAGCCGTGTGCACTTGGGAACTTGGGCTATGACAGCTTGGAATGGAAACACTCTTCCCATAGGCCTCTCATCCCGGGTTTGTGGGCAACTAGTGTCTCTTTATGACACCTGTTGACTTGGTGGTGTGAAAGCATAGAATGCTGAACCATTGGTTTCCCGCCCAAGCCTGTTTCATCAGATGTCTTTCAATAAGAGAATAAGCAGTGGATTTTCTTCTTCCTTTGGTGCGAAGCACAGTGCCTTCTAGACAAGAGGAGTGGAATCTAGGAATGAGAAGTGACATAGCAGCAAGTGGCTGAAGGTGGTCCCTGTTGCTAGTTTCAGCAGAGAAGCCAGGGAGGGTCGCGCTGGGGGCTGCGCCTCTCCCCTACACCTGCTGGCCACTGTGTGCGGTGAGCCGCTGGAAAGACTGCGCTCGCTACTGCCTGTGGCCCAGGCTCCTTTTTGTTTTCCTGGTCTGAGCCTTTCTTGCCCTGGCTGTCTTCCATACACTCTGCAGGTACACATTTGATGTTCTTCCAACTGCCTCGGGCCACTTGTTGATGGCTGGAGAGACAGGGTGACGCAGAGGCTAGTCCTGGAGCAGCCAGGTGCCTCTGGCCACAAAGGCCCCGAGCCCTCACTCCCTGGTGCTGCTGATCAGTGATGGCTGGGACTCTGGGGGCCATCTCACTGGCCACGGGGCCCTCGCAGCTCTTTCGGAGCCAGTTCACCCCATCCCACTCTGCAGGGGTCGGGTCCTGTGGGTACAGGAGATGAGATACAGGGCGGAGGGCACCCAGAATCCCCTTTAAAGTTCAAGTTTGCACGGAGAAGAAGGAGCGGGAGGCCGTCGTCCAGAACCACATGTGGATGCCAGGTTCCCCTGCCTCTCCTGGGCCTAACGCATAGCCTAGGACACAGCCCTGGGACACTCTGCTTTGCCTCGCTGAGAGCATTTTCTGCAGGTCAAGCTCTGGCCGACCTCGTAGCAAAGCAGTGCTGTGAAGCCGTTACTGCCAGGCTGGTAGGGTGGGAGAGAGGCCCGGGAGGCCCTTGTTTCGCATTTCAGGCCTGGGAACGGCCACACTGCCTCCCAGTAACTGGCCTGGTGTTCAGACTCCGCCTCCCTCGTTTCCTGTCACTGCTCCCCCCCTTTCTCACCACCTGCCTGGACGGTTGGCACCTGCCTCTGCTGAAGCGCTCAGAATCCAGAGATGGATCTCGCTTGTCCGTTTACCCCCGCCTCCTCTCTCTGTTTTGTTACCTTCCTGTATTCTTACCATCTTCGTCACCTCCCGTGCTTTGAAATAAAATAGGGCCACACTGGTGAGATAATTGGTATTGTTGGGGCAACCTGAAGGCACAGATCTAAGACGAGACAGGGACAGGAGCAGGCACTGGAATTCCTCAAGTTTTCCCCTGAAACACGTAACTCCCAGCTAACGAGTGATGCCTGCAGCCTGGCTGAAGTGCCCGTGCCAGCAGCAGAGCCATCTCTTCCCGGTGACTAGGCTGGCTGCCTTCAGCAGCTGTTTGTCACAGGCTTAACGTGCACCAGCCCTGGGCTGGGGGCGGGGCACAGAGACGCCAGTCCCTGGCGATATGATGCTGCCTGGCTGGTTCTGACCCAGTTCCAAAGGCCCAGCCATTCAGGTTCATATCTGACGCAGTCCAATGGGGTAGCCGAGAATAAATGTCCCTCACGAGAATAAATCCCAACCCCAGCGGTGCAGCGTGGGTTTTGCCGGGGGTGCGGTCAGAGTGCATCTGCAGATGTGAGCGCGAGAGGAGCCTGCTGCCTTTGCCTGTGACACGTCATATTTGCCTGGGGGCGGGGGAGGCCAGTTGGTAATAAGCAGCAGCTCTGCATTGCAACGGGAGAGGAATCAGCCCTACGCAGGCACCTCCGCACACGACATGGGCTTCACCCTGGGGAAGGGGTGGGCGTGGTGCACACCGGGCCTTCTCACCAGGCTCCACAGCTGGGCCCCACCCGGGCACTGTGAGGACTTGGAAACAGCACGTGGAAATTACGAGGCTGGGACATGAGAATGGCAGACGGTGCGCGCCCTGGGACTGGGGCCGTGTCCGCGCTTCCTTGTGAATGACACGGTCCTGCTTTGGAAGGCGAGCAGACGCTGCTGCCCCCTTTCTACAGAGCCCCCCAAGCTGCCACTGCAGAGGCTGCAGGCGCTCCAAAGTGCGGGGGCCCAGGAGCTCTGCACGGGTGGTTGGTCACCGTGCCTTGGTAGGCAGGTGTTTTCCTGTCACCAGCACGACCTGGCCCCAGGAGACCATTCTGGGCTGGTGCTGCAGGCCCAGAGGTAAAAAGGGAGCAATGTCCCTGCCACTGCGAGCCTGGTCTTGGCGCGTCCACTGACACCACCACGCTGGATCGAGAGGACGATGTGTAGTTAGCACTGTGTTCCAGCTGCTCCTGCTGTGCTCTCTCCCAACAGCTACCAGATCATGCTGGACTGCTGGCACAAAGACCCAAAAGAAAGGCCCAGGTTTGCAGAGCTTGTAGAGAAACTCGGCGATTTGCTGCAAGCGAATGTTCAGCAGGTAAAGGTAGACCATCAGAAGGCCAGATGCCTTTGACCGACAGTCCGCGGGCTGTTTTACTCGCTTGTTGTCGTTCTGAGCACCATTAGCAGAATAGCTGAAATCAGCAGTGTAAAAAAAATGTATGCGTGTATGTGCAAAATTCTCTTCTCAAAACCCAACTACGGTGGATGTTGTGGTTCGGCAGGCTAAGCCACTGCTTGCAATGCCCACATCCCATATCAGAGTGCCTGGGATAGAGTCCTGCTTCCACCTACTGATCCGGTTTCCTGACAAATGCTCCCAGCAGGCAGCAGATGATGGCCCAAGTACCTGAGTTGCTGCCATCCACATGGGAGAACTGCATAGAGTTCCCGGCTCCTGGCTTCAGCCTGGCCCAGCCATGGCTGTTGCATTCTTTAGGGAGTAAACCAGTGTTAGGAAGATCTCTCTCTCTCTCCTCTCTTTCTCTCTCGCGCTCTCTCTCTGTCTTTCTCTCAATCTCTTCGTCACTCTCTCTCCATCTGCCTCTCACATACATAAACAGATAAATCTTTGAAACACGCATACGGAACCAAGATGTGTAAATGGCGTAGCAGAAGTTGAGCGAGTGCTTCCCAGGAACGGGGTGAAGGAGGACTTGTGTGACTGGAGCTGTGTCTCTGCTGTTTCAGGGTGGGAAAGACTACATCCCCCTCAATGCCATCCTGACTGGAAGCAGTAAGTTTCCGTACTCCGCTCCTGCCTTCTCCCAGGACTTCTTCAAGGAGGGCGTGTCGCTTCCCGGGTTTGATTCAGGAAGCTCTGATGATGTCAGGTAAGATTTCTTTCCCCAGCTTTAATTACTGAATTTTCAAGCCTGCCAAATGATAGTAATAAAAAATAAATGAAGAACTGTGTAACAGTCGCCTTTATGCCCACCTCTGTGTCCAACCCTTGCAGCCATTCGGCCCTGTTATGTTTATATACTCTAAATATCTGTGCATTTTATAAAGAACATTAGGCATTTCCAACACTTTAGTCTTAACTATTTTTGGTGTGTTTTTGCCAGAAGAGAATTCCATGTAGCTGCATCAAAATTATCACACTAAAGTAATTCCTAATATCATCTATTCAGATTTTTAAAATTTCTGCCAAACATTTTTATATTTCTTTTAAAAACAACAAGAACCCAATAGAGAGTAACACAGGGTATTTTCTGAGGTTTCTTTAGTCTATCTTATTTGAAAATCATTCCTCTTCTTCCCCCCCTCCCCCCATGACATTGATCTTTTTAGATGAAATTAAATAAACAGGGGCCGGTGCTTTGGTATAAAAGGCTAAGCCTCCGCCTGCAGCGCCAGCATCCCATATGGGCACTGTTTCAAACCCGCACTGCTCCACTTCCCATCCAACTCCCTGCTAATGGCCTGGGAAAGCTGCGGAGGATGGCCCAAGTCCTTGAGCCCCTGCACCTGGGTCGGAGACCCAGAGGAAGTTCCTGGCTCCTGGCTTCAGCCTGGCCAAACCCCGGCCATTGCAGCCATTTGGGGAGTGAGTGAACCATCAGATGGACAGTGTCTCTCTCTCTCTGTCCCCCCTTCTTTATTTCTTTCTTTCAAATAAATAAATAATCTTTAAAAATTAAATAGACAAAAAAGGCTCTTTTTTCTTGTCAAGCAAATGAATATGCTCACGTTACTGCAGAGGAAATTGGAGAAGGGGCAAGGGGACAAATATTCATGGTGGGCACCCCCTGCCCCCGCCAGCCATGGACCTGTCGTCACACGTGCGTTGACCACACGCAGCCCCGGCGGTAACACAGGCACACGCTGTGCTCAGGCACTGCCCTGGGCTCTGTGCTTTCATCAGCTCCTTTGGTCCCCAGAAGTCTCGTGAAGTAGAGATTTTTCCTGTTACACATTCAGCATTAAGGCTCCAAGGAGGAGAGCTTGCCAAAACAGCGTGGCTAGGGATGGCAGAACGAAGCTTCCAACTCAGCAGTTCTGACCGTCTCTCGCTGCACCCCAGGCAATCCGGACACCCTTGAGGACTTCTAGACTGCCCTGCAGGCCTGCCAGCATCTTTGTCTGCAGTGGGCACAGCGCTCGGCCTTGACCTTGACCGCCCCCTGGGGAGGCAGGGGAGAACTGCAGCCTGGTGTGACAGCCGTCCCGTGGGCAGCCCAGACTTATCCGTGCTCTTGCTTCACAGGCAGCCCAAGAGGCCGGAGCACATGAGTCAGCCTTTTTTTTTTTAAATATGAGGAAGCTATCTTGGATAACCTGGATTAGCAAGGTCTGATTCGGCTGGTGATGGGAGTGGTGTGGAGTGGCGTGGAATGTCCAGGTTACACGGGCCCTGCTAATATGTTGCTCAGTCTTTGATGCTTGCCTAAAGAAATTTGGCCTTCCAAGGATGACAGAGTATCAGCTGGCCTGGTGGGTAACCTGCTCTGCCACTCTTTCCTAAATAGATCATCAACAAAACTCAGTGGGTACTTACAGAGAAATCATGTACATAACTACCCATTTCTCCCACTCTGCAGTCACGGAACAACATACAAGTGCAGCCCCAGCACTTCACAATACCTTTTTTTAAGATTTATTTATTTATTTGAAAGGCAGAGTTACAGAGAGGCAGAGGCAGAGAGAGAGAGAGAGAGGTCTTTCATCTGCCGGTTCGCTCCCCAAATGGCCACAATGGCCGGAACTGAGCCAGGGGCCAGGAGTTTCTTCCGGGTCTCCCATGCAGGTGCAGGCATGCAGGCACCCAAGCACTTGGGCCGTCTTCTGCTTTCCCAGGCCATAGAAGAGAGCTTGATTGGAAGTGAAGCAGCCGGGACTTGAACCGGCGCCCATCTGGGATGCCAGCACTGCAGGCGGCAGCTTTACCTGCTACGGCACAGCACCAGCCCCCCACAATACCTTTCAGTTAGCTGTGCTACAAGCTTGGCAGGCCGTTTTATGTGTGACCTCACAGCCTTTTAGGAAGTAGGCAGTGGTAAGATTGCTTCCCCGGACATCATTTCTCTGTTGTCCACCGCAGGCGCGTTCAGAACACGTGAGGTCTCAGGTCTCTTGGTGGCCTGATGCCTTCTGATTCCACAAGGGACCAGTGTGGGACCCTCTGGGGTTTTGCTCAACATCACGGAATGTGAATTAGCAGCCGCGGGAGGAAGTTGCATTGCCCTGAGGATTCCCAGGGGCCCACCACTGGGAAACGTGAGCCTTGGGGGAGTTCAGCGGCGCCTTCTGGCGTTTCGGTTCGTCTTCTTGGGCCCTGGAGCCCCAGGTCTCCTGACTCATCCCGGCTGGTACACTCTCCCAAGCTGGCTGTTCTCTCTGCTTCCTTGTTAGATACGTGAACACTTTCAAGTTCATGAGCCTGGAGAGAATCCAAACGCTGGAAGAACTTGCGCCACACACCACCTCCGTGCTTGACGTAAGTTGTGAACTGAAGCTTCTCGAGGCCCCTCAGAACCCTCAGCCGGCATCCACCCAGATCCCAGCTGCAGGAGTCCCCGAGGGCCGGCCACCGGCGGCCAAGCCAGCACTGTCGGCAGACCAACAGCTGGACTTTGCTCTGCCGAGCTCATCTGAAAGTAGAATTTCATGGTTTGAAGATGACCCAGAATTCCCCTCAAGACCCAGGGCCTTGCCTGGTAGGAATTAGACCCTCGGTAAACTCATACATGTTTCTAAGCCTTTGGGCGATCAGTGATGCCTCCTTGCTTTCAGAGTAATAGAGGAAGAACTCTTGGCTGTGTGAGTAGCTAGGCCTTGAGATGTAAGCGGGAGTTCACTCTGAATAGCCACCTACAATCTGGTAGGTTTCTACCTAGGCTTTCGGCCCTGGCTCTGTGTCTCAACCAGCTCTTCCCTTGAAATCCCTGGGAGAGGAGAGGAGGGGTGGGCAGGAGCACACTGCTGCTACTGCGCATGCTCACACTCGGCCTGTGGCCCCTGGAAAAGCACGGGGCCATGACCTGACAGCAGGTTAGAAACACCGACCCTCGGGACCTGCTCCGCCTTGCCACAGATCCCCAGGGGACTCCCGTGCAATTGAAAGTCGGAGAAGTGCTGATCTTGACCATGGCCCGCAAAGGGACTGGAAGACAGCCACAATGCAGAGATCATCACCACAGCTGATACAGCCTTGGGAGAAGCAACAGCCACCCGTTAAAAAACCCCAGAGTGGGCAGTGAGCCCAGCAGTTAAGATGCCCGTGTGCCACATCAGAATGCCTGCCTCTGGCTTACTGGTGGGCGGCAGTGAGGGTTCAAAGCACTGGTCCCTGCCACCCATGTGGAACAAATGCACTGAGTTCCCAGCACCCCGTTTCAGTCCCAGCCAGGGACTGGTTCAGGCATCTGGGGAGTGAATCAGCAGAGGCGCACTTACTCTGTCTCTCCTCTCCCTCTCTCTCTCTCTCTCTCTAATAAGTGTTTTAAAAAATTTCTGGCCGGGCTGGTGTTGTGGAGCAGCAGATTAAGCCGCCACCTACAACGTCAACATCCGTGGTCCCGGGGCACTGATTTGAGTCCTGGCTGCTCCGCTTCCTGTCCAGCTCCCTGCTAATGTGCCAGAGAAAGCAGATGGCCAGGTGCTTGGGCCCCTGCTTCCCGTGGAAGACTTGCATGGAGCTCCTGGCTCCTGGCTTCAGCCTGGCCCCGCTCCAACATCCTGGGCATTTGGGGAGGGAATCAGTAGATGGAAGATGTTCTCTCTCTCTCTCTCTCTCTCTCTCTCTCTCTCTCTCTCTCTCTGTAATTGCCTTTCAAGTCCAAGGAGATAAAACTGAGAAGAACACGGAAGGTATCTTGTAACCTTAAACCCCACCCCAACACAGGGGTGAATTACGACGGCTGTTTTGTTTGCTCCGGTGTTTGCTGGCCTTTGAGAACATTGCATATAGCCCAGTGAGGTCCCTGAAGGCTGGTGGGAGCCCTATGAACCCACTTACCGGAGCACGCTGTGTTAACAGAGTAATGAAGAATCTGCGTGACACTCGATGCCAGAGGTGAACCCGTGAGAAAATGTAATTGCTGCATACAGTGACTAAGGAGGGCCTGAAAATGCCACAGAATCTTCAAGAAAAAAAATTGAACCATCTCTTTATAATTTCCTAGAACTTTTATGGATCAGGCTCCCAAATAATATAGCATTGGCACTGGTGTTCTGCTGCAGCATGGTTAAACCAACCATAGCTTAAGATACCAGCATCCCGTATAAAGGTGCCGGTTTGAGGGGCCAATGCTGTGGCGCAGTAGGTTAAGTCTCCACCTGCAGTGCTGGCATCCCATATGGACACTGGTTCGAGTCCTGGCTGCTCCTCTTCTGATCCGGCTCCCTGCAAATGGCCTGGGAAAAGCAATGAAATATGGCTCAAGTCCTTGAGACACATGGGAGACCCAGGGGAGGCTCCTGGCTTCAGCCTGGCCTAGCCCTGGCTGTTAGAGTAGTTTGGGGAGTGAACCAGCGGATGGAAGATTCTCCCTCTCTATCTCTTTCTTTCTTTCCTCTCTGGATCTCTGCCTTTCAAATAAATAAATAAATCTTTAAAAAGAGAAAGAAGAGGCTGGCGCTGTGGCTCAATAGGCTAATCCTCCACCTTGTAGCGCCGGCACACCGGGTTCTAATTCCGGTCGGGGCGCAGGATTCTGTCCCGGTTGCCCCTCTTCCTGGCCAGCCCTCTGCTATGGCCCGGGAGTGCAGTGGAGGATGGCCCAAGTGCTTGGGCCCTGCACCCCATGGGAGACCAGGAGAAGCACCTGGCTCCTGGCTTCAGATCAGTGCGCCAGCCGTGGCAGCCATTGGAGCGTGAACCAATGGCAAAAGGAAGACCTTTCTTTCTGTCTCTCTCTCTCACTGTCCACTCTGCCTGTTTAAAAAAAAAAAAAAAAAAAAGAGAGAGAGAGAGAGAGAGAAGAGGTGCCAGTTTGAGTCCCAGAGGCTCTACTTCCAGATGGAGCTCCTGGATCCTGGCTTCTGTCTGCCCCCAGCCCTGGCCTTTGCGGGCATTTGGGGAGTGAGTGAACGAGCACATGGAAGATGCCTCTCTGTCTCTCCCTCTCTGTCACTCTTTCCAAATAAGTAAATCTTCAAAAACAATAATAAAGCAGACTCATAGCCAAAAGTAGTTTTCTTGCACTTGCACAGTGATCGGCACTAAACATAATCTGTGGACAGTGCTAACCTGCTGCTGTGATTTAGATTCATCCGCTTCACCTCCATGCACCAGGAGTAGGCATTTCTTGTCGCTCGCCAAGTTCCTATTTGCAATCTGGAGAAAGTGCTTTGTCTCAGTAGGGAGTGTGGACATCAGAGGCTCATCGCGATATCACTCCCGAGACTGGGCAGGGGCGCTGCGGGGGCCAGGCCAGACCATAACCTTTCCCCCCCTCCCTCCCTCCCGCCAGGATCATCAGGTGGACAGTGGCACACTGCTGGCCTCCCCGCTGCTGAAGCGCTTCACCTGGACTGAAAGCAAACCCAAGGCCTCGCTGAAGCTCGAGTAAGGACGCCGGGCCTCCTCTCTGTGACCCGATGGTGGAGGGGACTGCCGGAGGCTGCGGGGCACAGGGCTGCAGGGGGCTCTCTCAGGGCCGTGGGCAAGAGGGGCTATCTCAGGGCCGAGGGCAGGAAGGCTGCAGGGGGCTATCCCAGAGCTACTTGCCCTCCTCAGCTGTGGCTTTCAGGCATCGCAGAAAAGCACTTCCCCTCCAAAGCGCAGCAACAGGGCATGAAGTCAGGCAAGCGAACGCCGAGCTCAGGGAGACAAGCCTGGGGCTTAGGAGAGAAATGCTGCAGAACATTCCTGCAGGCACGGGCGGCCGGGGTCCGGCTGTGCAGGGCGCACAGGGCCTCCGAGGAACAGAGCCTGCAGCTGAGCTAGCAGAGGGAGGTGGGCTCCCGGCAGGTGAGAAGGTTTGTGCGAGAGGAGTCCCAGGGCTCCTCGGGGCCGAGAATCCGCCCTCCTGCCCCCTGTTGGATTCTGGCACCCTTCTCTCACTTGAGCATATCTCCCCCTCCCCGCCGTGGTCAAACCTCCCCACCAGAATGACTCTGGCTCCTGCTGTGAGCTCCACGGACCCCCGCGGGTGTCACTTCAGAGAAGCGGGGTCAGCCCGGCCCAGCCCCAGCCATGGTCGTTTGGAGAGCGGCCCAGCCCCAGCCATGGTCGTTTGGAAGGCAGCCCCGTTCTCTCTCGTTTGTGCCTCTCTCTGTAACTCCGCCTTTCCAATGAATGCGTACAGCCTTTAAAAATAAAAAATATAGACCCAACGGTACCAGCCCCTGGGCAATCTAAGTTATGGCAACAGATACATCCGAGTGCCACGACGGACACAATCTGTCACCCGTCAGTAGCTTGGAAAGACAGGGAACGTTCCCAGGTGGTGATCTGCATGTCCGTTCCCTTCTAATGCAAGCATCGTGGCGGGGCCAGGGGTGAGTCCCAGCAGCCTGGAGGACACCATGAGGTGGATGAAAAGCGGAAGGAGGGAAGGAGAACTACCTACCTTGGAACACTCCAGAAAGTGGGTGGGCACCTTTCTCTGGATCTTTGACGAAGGAAAGAAAACTGTAAATTCTATCCCCCCCACGCCCTCCCCCCACTAAGCCCACCAGGCAGCACCTGCTAGGCCTGCCCTGCCTTGCTAACCGGGTCCTGAGGGTCTCCCGCTAAACAAACACTGCCTTCGGAGGTTCTGGGAGGGAATCCAGTGCTGGCGGCTTGTGGCCCCTGGTAGCTTCAGGCACTCCCTGGCTGTGGCTGCACCTCCCTGTGCTGTCTGCCCGTGGTCTTCCCCACTGTGGGAGGTCAGGCATGGCTCTGCCTCCCTCGGCCTTCCTCCTGTAAGGACCTGCGGTGCTCTGTAGGGTCCCCCCAGAGAGTTCTGGGTAAGCTCCTCTGTTCACGATCCAGAGCGCACTCAGACCCTCCGCAGCTTTTGCTCTGTTGCCATAGAAGGTGTCATCACAGGTTCTGTGGATTTGACGTGGGTATTCTGGGGACCACCACAGAAGCTATGCGACCCAAGGGTAGCAGAGATGCCCCCCTCCCGGAGTTACTGCCTGCTGGAATTGTGAATTTTCATTCTCTAACCGTGCCTTCCACCCCCAACCCCTGGGCCGCACCCTTCTACCCGGTGACACCACGCAGGCTTCCGGGAGGTGGCGTCCAGTTTTGGAACGGAGAAAATCTGAGCAGAGGTTGAGATGGGCTCGGGAACCCTGCACACTCCGGGGACGGGCGCCAGCAAAGCACCCACTGAGAAAGCAGAGATTGTGCATTTGTTGTCGGGACACCCATTTTGTACCTACAGCTGATGGTGTTGCTTTTTCTCTCTTCAGCTTGCGAGTGACCAGCAGAAGCAAGGAGTCGGGGCTTTGTGACATCCCCGGGCCACCTGTCTGCCACGCCAGCTGCGGGCACCTCAGCCGAGGCCGGCGCAGGTTCACGTTCGCCAACGCGGAGCTGGAGCAGAAGACGGCTCGCTGCTCGCCGCCCCCCGACTACGACTCGGTGGTCCTGTACTGCACCCCGCCGGTCTAGAGCCCGAGGGGAAGCCTTCCGTCTAGAAGCACATGTGTATTCACACCCCGAAAGCTAGCTTTTGCCAGTATTATGCATATATAAGTTTACACTTTTTCCTTTTCACAGGAGTGAGCTGCTTTTTGTGAGTTTTTAATAGTGCTTTTTTTTTTTTGGACTAACAAGAATGTAACCCCAGATCAATTAGAGAAATAGTGACAAGTGAGGAACACTACTGCTCAATCCTCATATTACTCGCTGTGTTGGCAAAATCCCTTCGAAGCCCCGTGACGCACCTGCTCCAACCCCTGAGACGTCAGGCACACGCATGCGCTTTGGGGCGTGCACTATGGACGCCGCTGGGCCAGCCCCACAGCCCCGGAGCCAGGGGACAACAAGGCCTGTGCTGGAGGGATCGCTCTCTGGCCGAAACGTGGCCTGTGGAATCCTCTGGGAGGCAGGTGTAAGATGTGGGAGAGAGAAAAGGGGAAAGAGAGAAAAAGGAGGGGAAGAACCAGGAGAGGGTCCAAGATGGAACTAGAGGCATGTCAGGCCCTCGGGTGGCGTCCAGCCACGGCCCCTGTGCCCAGACAGTGCAGCGATAAGGGGACGGTGGCTGGGTTCTGGGAGGCAGGAAAAGGACAAACCGTTTTTGGAACTCAAGTAGATGTCAGAGCTTCGCCTGTGGGAACAGGTCTGTGCCCGCTTGCACACGTGGCCTGTTTCGAGTTTTAGCACTGAGGATGGCGGGTGGGCTCCTCTGGCGGATACACTGGGAACTTAGCAGGGCTCGGCCTGCTCCGGGCCTCTGCAGCACGCTGTTCAGGAGGAGCCCTGCGGGATTAGTTTGGTTGGCAGGGTTGTCCACTATGGGGCTCAAAGCCATATGTTTAAAAATGACGTCAGATTGTATTTCCAAGATTAATGTATAGTCAAGACACTAGCTTTGTTTCGTGTTCTATCGTTTTGTACAGTTAGCTGCAAAAGGAAGCTGAGGCGACTGGAGATGCAGTCTTGCAGGGGGTTTTCTCTGGATGAAAACTAGCACAAATGGGGAAAAACAAGGCAGGGCGCAAACTCCGTCTCTATAGCAACCAAACCACCTCAGCAGAAGCGTTGGGACCCGGACGCCCAGGAAGTCAGCCGTACTTCCTTGTGGTCTTACACTAACCTGGAAAGGGTGTGGAGAGCGTTAACCAATGTTCATCAAGCACTTTATGCTCCTGAGGGGGCGGGGGAGGGAGAGGTGAGATGTGATTTATGCAAGGTGTCTCTCCAGCTGGGACCCTGGATAGCGGCTCCTGAGCCATCCCCAGGGGAGGAGACAGCTGTGGACCTTGCCTTGGGGCTGAGGCCGCAGGCAACGGGGGACAGGGTAGCAAAGGGCGCCTGCTCTCTGGGGGGCTCCAGAGCAGCGAGCCCCGGACCTCTCCACCGGCTCTGTGCGATGCTATTTGTACAAGCTGTGGGCTGTGTGTTAGGATGTGTGCAGGCACGGAAGCCAGGCAGGCAGCAGTGACCGCTGCTTCCGAGAGGAGCGTGGGGGACTTGCCTCTGTGCCGGTGAGGTGGCTCTGGGGCCCCAGCTCCCAGGTGACAGAAGACTCCTCCTCCACCTGCCACTTTCTTGTGCAGGTTCTTTGTGGGGAAAGCAGGGCGAGGTAGCACAGGCCCGGCTGAGGCAGTGGGCGCCTAGGGGGGCTTCTCAGGGCCTCCACGGCCAGGCCAGAGGAGGCAGCAAGGCCTCTCCACCAAGAACCAAATTCAAGCAAAATCAGGCCAAGGCCAGAAAGAGAGAAACACCTTTGTTTTTCTTCTTCTTTGCATACACAGAAGCACCTGTGACTACTGGCAGTAGTACAACTAAGATAACCTAGGAGGAGGTTCAACAGAGAGAAACGGAAGAGGACCCGAGTAATTCTCTACTTTTTTTTCAAATCAGATAAGGCTCCAAAAATGAGTGATTACAATAAAAATCTTAGCTACTCATCTGATGTCTTGATTTTAGTCGTCTAATAATCTTAGGAGACCAAATGAGCCAATCTATTAGAATTAGGCTACTCTGCCTCTTCAAAGCCTCGGATTTGTAATCTGCGCGAGTGCATCAGTCAAAAAAAATTTTCCCATCTGGAGTCATAACACAGAAAAATGGAAGCTTGCAGGCATGAGTGTTGCCGAGTTGCACAGTGTTTGCTCGTTAAAACAGTGCTGGCAGTGCAAGTACGAACGGATGGTAATTCCAGAACTGGTGTGCCGTTCAAGACGGAACTGGCTGGCACTAACCAGGAACAGGCACGTCTCTGAACTAGCGTGGGTGGGATGGGACTGACACCATATGCAAGTTTTACATCAAGTTAATCTCAGAAACGATGCTCAGAAAGTAGTTTTAGCCCCTGGGAAAATTCGTCCAAGTCTTGAAACCTGTGCAGCTCTCGCTTGTTTCCCAGCCCATGAGAGTGTCAGACATGACACGGATAACACGTGCCTGCCGCACTCAGATCCAGCCAAGGGGGAGCGCCTCTCTGACCGCAAGTGCTCGTTACCGTTTGTGTACTCGTGGAAGTATGTGTGTCTCTGTGTTTTGTGCATGACTATTTAAGGAAACTGGAATTTTAAAACTACTTTTTATACAAACTAAGAAGATATGCTACAGATATAAGGAAGACATAGTTTGGTTCTACATGTCTAGCCATGATGAATGTATTTTGTATACTATCTTCATATAATAAAATTAACATCCAAAGTTATCTCCAGGTGTTCCTCTTGATCTTGTGAGTGAAAACTGGGTGTCGGTGGGGGCGGTGGACTGGTGTTCTGGGAGAGCTTAAGTACTACACAGTGCAAGAGAGAGAAAGCCAACACAACCAGAGAGGGCAAAGAACTTTCCATCACAAAATGGCTGCACTGAATAATCAGGGTCGTACAAACTGTAAATAAGAAGTAAAACCAGTCTAGGCGGATTGCCCAGAAAACTAGACACTCGAGTGAACAGGATGCTGAAGCCACTGGTGCACACACACAGTGAGTGAGTCCTGGCTGCAAACCGCTGCCCTCCATTCTGGGGGGCGCGGGAGGGGGGGTCCCGACCATAAACAGTTACCGTAATTACAAGGTTTGTGTGTGCGTCCACACGTACGCACGTGCATGTGTCCTGGAGGCTGCCATGCAGGAAACCATAGGACGTAACAGACAAAAGCCTAAAACACGAGGGAAGTACACCAGCTGAGAATTCGGTTTTGTTTTCTGGATTGCATTCCAGGGAGGGAAACAACCGGCGATCACTGGTAGACGTAGAAAAAGTGGCCAACAGCCTGACTTACGGAGTGCTGAGTCTGACCACATCAGCACGGAAACCACATTGCTAGGGGAAGGGTCGGGCCTACTTGCTTCAGGGCAACAAGAAGGAAAGAGGGTAAATGGCCAATTTCAGTAAACTCGTGGCTAACTGAAGAACGTAAGAGATAACTTTATCTGCAGTAGCCTGAAATCCTTCTAAAACCTCGGTTTCCCTAACACTCATTTGGACAATGATTTGAAGAATGCTTGAGGAATCAGTGTCACATCACAGGTCAGAAATTTTCTCACGACTCCGGAAACTGATGGTGCATTGGGGAATTCTTTCTTTCTTCCTTTCTTTTTCTTTTTTCTTTTTTTTTCTTTTTTTTTTTTTTTTCTGCAGGAGGATAGCCTAGTATGGTTAATGGACTCCTCAATGTTAAAACACATTTTCAGATTCTTGGGTCTCACAGGTCAGGAAACTGAAAAAAATATATCCTGGTTCCAACACAGTGATGACCAAGCTTCTGTGAGTATTTTGTGAAAGAGGAGCATTTTAGGGAGGAAAAAGCAAAATGCAAACAATGTATTACAACCCTAACTGGATGCCATGGACGGGACGCTGCATTTCCTGATGTGGGTGGTGCTGCCCATGTGTGTTCACTGTGTGAGAAGCCACTGTGCTGGACACTCGTGTGAACTTTTGTGCGTGCTCACACCCTGGAGCTCCGCAGAAGAATCACGGAAATGCATATGAGAAACTCTGCATTTCAAAACTTTTTGCAGTGGCCGGCGCCACGGCTCAGTAGGCTAATCCTCCACCTAGTGGCGCTGGCACACCGGGTTCTAGTCCCGGTCGGGGCGCCAGATTCTGTCCCGGTTGCCCCTCTTCCAGGCCAACTCTCTGCTGTGGCCAGGGAGTGCAGTGGAGGATGGTCCAGTGCTTGGGCCCTGCACCCCATGGGAGACCAGGATAAGTACCTGGCTCCTGCCTTTGGATCAGCGTGCTGTGCTGGCCGCAGCGCGCCAGCCATGGCGGCCATTGGAGGGTGACCCAACGGCAAAGGAAGACCTTCCTCTCTGTCTCTCTCTCTCACTGTGCATTCTGCCTGTCAAAAATAAAAAATAGAAAAAAACTTTTTGCACCAAAATAATCTTTTGATTTCATTGTCCATGAACTTCTTGAAGTCCCCCGTAGGCAGTGTATGTGAATGTATGTTGTCCTTTTTATGCAGAGTTTTTCTGATTGACACATAATCGTACATATTTAGGATGCATACTGTCATACTTCCAGACATGCGCACAACGTGAAATGATCAAATGGGAGTTGTTAGTATGCCTATCACCTTAAACATTTGTCATTTGTTATAAGAATATCAAAGATTCTCTTTTAGCTTTTTTATAAAAGATTTATTTATTTATTTGAGAGGCAAAATTACAGAGAGAAGGGGTGAGAGATGAGAGAGAGAGACAGAGAAAGAATCTTCCATCTGCTGTTCACTCCCCATATGGTTGCAACTGCAAAGGCTGAGCTGACCCAAAGCCAGGAGCTAGGAGCAACATCCAAGTCTCCCACGTGGGTGGCAGGGGTCCACGTACTTGGACCATCCTCTACTGCTTTCCCAGGAGCATTAGCAGGGAGCTGGCTCAGAAGTGGAGCAGCCAGGACTTGAACCTGTGCTCATGTGGGATGCTGGCATTGCAGGCGGCGGCTTAACCCGCTGCACCACAATGCTGGCCCCTGGAGCAAGCGACTCTTCTGCTGCGCGATGTGTCCCAGGGCGCTGGTTGGATTCTTGCACTGGCTTTGGTTCCAGGTGGCTGCTTTGGTGTAGTGGCTGTGCAGCCTCTTCAGCTGCAGTCGGCACTGCTGGTGTCTGTGGGTGTCTCCGCAGCTGAGGCTGCAGGATTTGGAAGATTGCACCGCTAGCTGAGATTCAGCTCCCTCGGGCCTGGGTGCAGGACACCTGGCTGCAAGTGTGAGGTGCCCATCGCTTTCTACAGGTTATGGGAGGGCAGGAGCACCCCTATGGGTCCAGGGAGGTGTGGCACAGTACGCCTGGTAGTGAGATGGGGGTGCCGCTCATGTGTGAGGGCTACCAGGTGACTCTGTGGGGCCTCCAGATGCTTCCCAGGGCTGGAGGTGGGTGGGCAGGGCATAACCTCAGCTTCTCATGGCCTCAGTGGGTCAAGATGCTGAGAGCAGGCTGTTGAACTGTTTCCGGGGTGAGCCTCTTGATTCCTGGGAGCCTCAGGGGGCTAAGCCATTCAAGAAAACCTCCTTGGCTGCTTACTGGGCCAAGGGTAGTGCACCTGGGTCTTTATGAGACAGCAGGAGTGCGGGCTGGGCTGCCCTGCTACTCCCTGGGGCCAAGCCTATGTGCACAGGCTACCTGCCTGCTTCTGCGGTGGCAGGAGGACAGGCATGGTGAAGCTGCCCCCAGGGCCTCTGTGGGATGAGCCACTGAGTGTGCTGTCCAGGTTCTTCCCAGAGGCACAGGCAGGCGGGCAGGGCCTCCTGGCCAGTTCACAGGGCTGGTCTGTGGAGCTTCCAGAAGCAGCTATCCAACTGTCTCGTGGGCTCCCGGGTGGGCGTGGTGGGTATCACAAAATGACTTCATGCAGCCAGAGCCTGGGTAGAAGGGGGCACAATGGTGGCTCACTCACCACCAGGGCCTTGCAGCAGTGTAGTAAACAGCAGCTCCCCAAGCACACAGGGCTCTCCAGTGCTAAGTGCCCCGGGATCTGTGGCATGAGTGGGGACTGCTGGAGGCTTCTTGCTTAGCCTTCAATCACATCTGTCTTGGTTCGGGTTGAGAGAACAGCAGTGCCATGTGCTTAGATCCCATATTTACAGGGCCATTGCGTATCTCCATGTTCTGCAATGCCCAGTCCACCCTCCAGCAGCGGAGTCACCATCGGGGCTGTGCTGCCTAAGACTGGGGCAGGGGTTCTGGAAGTTGTCTCCTGGTCACCTGGCTAAGCTGGTTGCAGGCACTCAGTCTTGGGTTCCTGGTTGGGGCAGGGGCCATGGGGATCTGCCCAGAAGACTTCATTTAATCCCCTCTCTCCCAGCCGGTGCTGTGCCACAGCGAATTAACACCCTGGCCTGAAGCACTGGCATCCCATATGGCTGCCGGTTTGAGACCCGGCTGCTCCACTTCTGATCCAGCTCTCTGCTGTAGCCTGGGAAAGCAGTAAAAAATGGTCCAACTCCTTGGGCCCCTGAACCCGCATGGGAGACCCGGATGAAGCTCCTGGCTCCTGGCTTTGGATCAGAGAAGCTCTGGCCATTGTGGCCAATTGGAGAGTGAACCAGTGGATGGAAGACCACCCCCACCCCCCGTGTAACTCTGACTTTGAAACAAATAAGTCTTTAAAAAAATCCCCTCTGGCCGGCGCCACGGCTCACTAGGCTAATAATCCTCCACCTTGCGGCGCCGGCACACCGGGTTCTAGTCCCGGTCAGGGCACCGGATTCTGTCCTGGTTGCCCCTCTTCCAGGCCAACTCTCTGCTGTGGCCAGGGAGTGCAGTGGAGGATGGCCCAAGTGCTTGGGCCCTGCACCCCATGGGAGACCAGGATAAGTACCTGGCTTCTGCCATCGGATCAGCGCTGTGCGCCGGCCACAGCGCGCCGGCAGCGGCGGCCATTGGAGGGTGACCCAACGGCAAAGGAAGACCTTTCTCTCTGTCTCTCTCTCTCACTGTCCACTCTGCCTGTCAAAAAAAAGATCCCCTCTGTCACCCCCAAATGGGAGCCCCCCATATATATATGTATACATATATATATACACATATATATATATATACACACACACACACTTTATATACACTTTGCTGCTTGGGGTTGAGGGAGGGGTGACACAGGCAATTATTTCCTTTCTGCCTTCTTCACTGGGTCTTTTCCTATTACTGCACGAAATCAGGTGCTGTGTCTCACCTGGCTGCCCCAGCGCTTGCAAAGGTGGAAAGGTGGATTGTGAGTGAAAAGCTGCCCAGACCGGCATCTCTGTGGGGAGACCATCCGTGGAGCATCCTACCCGGCTACCATCTTGCTCTACTTCAGCTCTGTGTGCTAATCTTCAGACACACACACACACACACACACACGGCAATAAGGAGAATCAGGTGAGAGCATCATGGCACAGAGGGTTAAAGTCCTGGCCTGCAGCGCTGGCATCCCTATGGACGCCAGTTAGAGTCTTGGCTGCTCTGCTTCCCATCCAGCTCCCTGCTAATGCACCTGGGAAAGCAGTGGAAGACGGCCCAAGTACTTGGGCCCCTGCACCCATGTAGGAGTCCTGGATGGAGTTCCGGGCTCCTGTCTTTAGCCCAGGCATGGCTGCTGCCACCATTTGCAGAGTGAACCAGTACATACACAGATCTCTCTCTGTGTAGTTCTCCTTTTCAAATAAATAAATTTTAAAAAAAAAGAAGGAAAAAGCCCTTCTGTCTACTACCACAACTTC